CTGATGCCAAACGCGAGCCGGCCGTCTCTCCCACGGAAGACTTGGCTGCCTGAAAAGGTGGACAATGGGATGGTGGTCATCCAAGCAGGCACGGGGTGGCTACACTGCTGTGTCTGCCCGCGGGTCGCAATGGCCTCGTATGGCGCGCCAGTCACACAGCTCTCAGAAGGTTGGGGACAAGAGAACTGCACGCACCCGACTGGCCGTGAGGATATGCACATAATGGATGAGTTCCGCGCGGGCTCACATCTTGACGTAGGGAAAGGGGACTACGGAAGTGAGATTCCCACCGCAACAAGCAGATATGTAGATGCCCGTTGGCTTGCAGAAAAACCCAAGGATGCCTGCTTTCCCTGGAATTCGAGTCTTGGAACTAACCAAGCTGAGAACTTCGCACGGTCTGGTTCTGAACTCGAAGAGACCAAGCTTCGGGAAACCGGAATACCTCCTCTTCAGCTTTCACCAGCTCGTATCGTGAAGAACCTATATCCAAGAATTTGGACTTTTTGTTCAGATACACCCGAGGAGCCTTGCTCATCTCATTTCAAAGCTGATCTTGCAAGAGCCTGTAGAATCTCTGGATGGGCCTGCGCTCGCAAGGCTCCTGTGTCACGAACGGCCTTACTTCGCACGAACTCAACAGGAGGCACGGCGGGAGAAACAGAGTCGAATTCCAACCAGTCGGAGGCTCACTCAACAGACCTTTCTTTGCCCGACGACATTTGAGCAGAGCCTTTTAGGAATCTTGGCCCGTAAACGTTTCTCACTAAGCTTATACGGGATTGCCTCCCCGCGTGGACGAATGATTTTGAGGTGCCACGAACGGGTCGGGATCTTGGAGGGGATGAAGAAACACAGACCACGGTATCACAGTGCTGGATCCAATGATTTTCGGCCTTACGCGAACGGCCACAGACACTGTAAGACTCGTGCGAGAGCATTTCTAGGTTGGAGTTAGCGTGGTAGCACCGGCGGCCAATTTGGGCCTGTTCCAGCTTTGCTGGCTCTGGATCGGCTTCGCATGGAATGTCTCTCGATTGAGTGCCCTTCCTCGTGAGAGGATTGCTGAGCGATTTTCGACCAGCGGTGTGATGCCCTGGGCCAGCCATGCGACCTGTGACGATGCTGGAGGGATAAGACCAGGATGAAAGCTGAAGCATGGCCAGATGCTCAGCAGTGATTGAAGGAACGAGTTTAGCTGATTTGAATGTTTCCAAAAGGGCAAATGCTTTGCGTTCTAGAAAGTCGGGCGTTCGGTGGAAATTTGTTGGTATCCAGGTCCAAACAGCCCAATATGCGCCTACCCGTGATCTGCTGGCTTTCGCTGCGCCGTTTGGCAAACCTGGAACCAGGAATTCCCGCAGCCTGACTTGAGCGGTCTGTAAACAGAAATGGACCGGGAAGCATCGGTAGGCTTTGCTATGAATAATTTTGTCTTGTCATTCAATATATCTTAATTCCCCCGAAGCACCGAATGAGGGCAAAGACAAGGATGAAAAGTAAGCCCTTGCGAAAATCTTGGGTAGATCGACGGTCCGCCAACCGCTCCGATCCACGAGGACGATAATCGTAGGGCTGTACGACTCACGTGGGAAATGTTCCGCATAATAAAGCCTCGCAGCTTGGGATGTGACGTTACTGAGCCCTGAGGTGTGATTCCCATAGGTGTGGCGTACGGTGGTTGGAGATCGACGGCCGGCGGCTGCAGCTGGAGAGCCGCTGGTTCGTATGCACGGAGAATATTGGCTCGCTTCTCTTGGTATTGGAGAAAGAGGCGCAGTTGAATCCTTGAACAAAAACGTGTTGAGTGGCTGTAAGGCTCTCAGCTTCAAGAAGTAGTAGGTTTTTTCAGATTCGTATCGAATGTGTGGACCCCTCACGTATGAGCCTTGGATGCTTCGATATCGGCGCTTATGCAGGGGAAGAATGAGGTTGAAATAACCCCAAGGCGTTGTCGTCACTGGGGATTGTTTTGTCTGAACGCTGTCACGAGATGGTTTGTAATAGACGTTCAAATCTTGCAGGTTTCTGTTTAACACAAGTTGCCCACGGCCTGTGCCGCAAGCTCAGAGATCCGAGCTGGGGGGTGTTCAATTCTAAATAGTAGAACATCTAGAAATTGCTTATATCTTCTTCACGAAAAAAAAAAAGGTCTCAACCAAGCTTGATGTGGATGCTGGTATTGGTTTTCAGAAGGGGTTTGCATTTCAAAGTTGGTGTTTTGGTTTCCAACTTTCATAGCTAACGAGGCCCTTTCAATCAGCTTCTCAATTGCTCACAGAAACTGTGAAGATACGACTGCGTATATGATTGAAACATGTGCGCAAACGTCTCTTCATCTTAAACGTCGTGTTTCTCAATGCATGCAAATCGGTCAGTTGTGTGGCACGAGTGACGAACATCTTCGGCAATCATCTGACTGGTCTGACAGCTGAGCGGACAACCTCAGGAACACCAAAGTCGGCATGTTCATCTCCCAAGTCAATAACCGTAGGAAGAAAAGGTTGAATGATAGCGCCAGCTGTCACAGTCAACTTTGTTCCTCACGGCAGGCTCACAAAGAGCATCTAAGTGCTGCCGTGGTAGAGTAGAAAATTGCAACTGCGATGAGTGACAGCGGGTAAATGAAAACAAAAATGTGACAGATAGGAGTGCTACTTAAGTTTGAGCCAGAGTCCTCGATTGTTGGTTGCTCTCGATCCACGATCATTTAAAGACTCGGCAATCTCCCGGTGCTCCAGGCTCCTTGCGTCGGGCAAAGACCCGCTGGCATCGGCACTCGGAGCCCACTACACCGACGCCACAGCAGGTCCCGCTCCGATCTACAGCGGTCCAATAGCACCGCTCCCGCAAACAGGAGCTCCAAGCTTCCTTCGAATTCGATCTCAACTTTCCCATCCACCTTCAACACCACGATCACGAACGCGCTTCACGATCGCCTTCCCTCGCACGAAACCTCCAGCCAAAATGTCTGTCACACTACACACAACACACGGCGACCTGAAGATTGAAATCTTTTGCGAAAGTGTGCCAAGAACAGCAGAGGTAAGCTCCCCCATCTCGCCGGCCGCCTTTCCAGGAAAAAGCAGGTCCCTAACAGAGAACCCTCCTCCGCCAGAACTTCCTCGCCCTCTGCGCCTCGCACTACTACGACTCCTCCCCCTTCCACCGACTCATCCCAAAGTTCATGGCCCAGACCGGCGGCCCCGCCGAGCCGACCCCCGAGAACCCCAAGGGCGGCCGCTCCATCTGGGGCGGCGCCTTCGAGGACGAGATCCGCCCGGCCCTGAAGCACTCCTCGCGCGGCATCGTCTCCATGGCCAACAAGGGACCCGGCACCAACGGCTCTCAGTTCTTCATCCTCTTCGACAAGGCGCCGCATCTGGACGGGCTGAACACCGTGTTCGGCAGGCTCATTGGTGACGACAGCACGGTCACGCTCGCCAAGATTGAGGCCGTCGAGGTGGACAGGAAGAACCGACCCAAGGAGCCGGTGAAGATCGAGAGTGTCACCATCCACGCGAACCCGCTTGCTGGTTGACCACGACCTGGAATTGCTATGTGCTGAAGAGGGACGCTGCGTTTGAGGTAGCTTCGGACTGCTGATTTTACTGCGATGATACCCGTACGCTATTGCCCTCCCTGCCGGCTGAGCCGCCGCTGACCTTCTCAAGATTAAATTCTAGACTCGAAGAACATTTGCACGGCCTACCGTCATCAAAAAAAACAAATGCTCGTCCACCCTCAGTCCTAAATGAAAGCTTTCTTATCAGCAGCCCCCTCAAATTCCATCTCAACCACCTATTCAGCCCTCGGCTTTCTCCCGTCCCCATCCAAGGTCCATATTCGTCGTTCCAGCCTCGATTAGCCAACAGCCTCATTCTCTCCTCGTGCCCGATCTGCACCCCGTGCAACGCGCTCCAAAACGGCCTCGCGACTTTGCGTCTCAGCAGCACCACGGCCGCAGGCGTCACCACCTCCTTTGACGCCGCAACCCCTTCAAGCTAGCCGGCCGCCCTCGCCCACTCCACGGCCCCAAAGCTCGGAGATGGTATCACTCGCGGAAGTGCCTAGGTATCCATGCGAGGATCCACGTGCGCAGGTAGTCTTGAAGAACTCCTCGCGCGAGCGGAAGAGCAGAGGAAAGGCTGGACGGTGCGCGGTTCCGGGGAGGGCGGGGAGGCTGGTCCTCAGGCAGTATATGCCGCCGCGGCTTGGTTCTGAAGGACAACTTGGGGAGTTTTGTGGGTAGAAGAGGCGAGTTTACGGAAGTCTTTTTGGTGTAGATGAAGGGAACTCTCGGCGAGAATTGTGAGCGTTATGCTCTTCTGATTAGAGCCTCTTCATCGCCGTGCCCATGCCATGAAAATGGCAATAAAATAGATCAAGTGAATGCCCCAATACAGGCTACCTCTCGTGAATAATCCCTTTGAAGGTTTGTCCCCGGTGACTACCAAAAAGTGGACAACATCCGAAGCGGTCCAGTCGGTGAGGTGTAGATAACCAAGGCTATTAGCATGACGCAAAAATCACACATACATCATCAGCTCATGCCATCGAGACGTGTTCATCAAGACTAGCATTCAAGCTCTTTGAAAAGGCGGTCTAGTCTAACGTCCAGTGTGATTTGAAACCCGCTTGTTCCCCCCCACGAAAGTTTCATATTGATATTGAGAAGAGGAGCCATTCCTCCACAACGCTGGCAAACGCTCCCGAGCGAACGCAATTCCATCGCATACCTCTTTGATGCAAAGAACCCATTCCATCCAGTCGGTCGTCTTCACTCCCCCAACCAAGAGAGAAGATAAAAAAAAAGCACAATTTGGGATATCATGATCTCCAGAGCAATCGAACCACGCCTCCCTGAAAATCTGCAAAGAAGAGACCTCCCGCCGTTTTGTGTCATTAAAGCAAGCCGCTCCCGGTGTGTTGTTTGAAAGAAAGTCATAAATTGAAGCCAATGGGTAATCGTGGCCCCGGTAACCTGGCCTCTTCGCCGTTCAGCCGACGCGCCGCCTTTTAGTGCCACGATCAGGACTGCCAGTGTACGGGTCAAAGCCGTCGCGTGCGATTTCTTCCGTTCCACTGCTCTCACTAGGAGTGTTGGCTGCATTGACAGCCGCAACACCGCCGTTGGGCGTAGCAGCGTCCAGGGAAAAGTTGAAGTCGGTTCCATCTCCCTGGAAGACGCCCCCTTGGAAGGCATCATCACCTTGGAAAGCATCTTGGTTGAGGAACTGGTCAATGTCAAGGTCAGACCCAAAGTAGCCGTTCTGGTGATTGATGTTGCCGTTCTCGTCAATGCCAGGAATCCGACCGGAGGGGCTCAAGGGGCCCAGCATGCTTGAAAGGTGGTCCAGCTTGGCAGCTTGCTCTTCTTGCATCCGCTGAAGAGCGGCCAAGTCGGCTTGGTTGTATTGGATATGCTGCAGGGAAGGCGGAGGTTCGGCTGAACCCATGATGGGCGAGAGTGAAAGACCTGACGTGGCGGGCATGGAAGGGGCGTCGGTGGTAGCGCTGACAGATGGAGCCGGCGGTCTGGGAGAAGCGGAGACGGAGGGCCTTGTTGTTGGCGTGTTGCTGGTGGGCGTTGCGGAACGGCCAGCCATGATGTTGAGCATCTTGGTGCGCTGGTCATTGCTCATGGTGACAGGGGTGTTGTTCACGACCTCGGGCAGGTCAATGTTGGACGATTGGTTTGCATGGTTTGCGTTGGTGTTGTTGATGATCTTCATCATGCTCTCGTGGGGGTTGGTCTCAAGCTCCTGAGCCAGGTAGTTGCTGGGGGAAGATGCATGGTCTCCAGGTGACGTGTCGAAGAGCTCTGTTACTGTGCCCATCTCACGGTTGTTGTACGGCTGGGGCGTGGGCGCGCTAGATGCTGGGGATGGAGAAACTGTGTTGGCACGGCCGTTTGGAATTGGCGGCAGAAGCGCTTGTCTGCGCTTCGCGAGGTTCATGTTGTTATTCGCCGCAGACTGCGACTGGATGTAGTCTCCAAGGTCCACCACACTGCCCTGAGGCACAGAGCTGTTGTTGTTGGCATTGGGGATGATGCTCGCCAGCAAGTCGTTCACGCTTTGAGCGCCTGCCTGATCTTCGAGCGTCTTCCTAAAGACGTTGGCCAGAAAGTTAAGGATGGCGTTGATAGAATTTTGGTGACGATCGTGCTGGCTCTGGAAGACGACGGCCTGATTATATAGTGCCGAGTTATCTTGCTGGATCCGCTGGATGGCCGACATAATCAACCTTTGCTGATCCCGCAGCTTGGCCAACTCTTCGCGGATGAGGGCCATCTCTTTCTTCTGGATGGGCATGTCCCCCGCAGGCGGGAGGGCTCTGCTAGACGGAGCGCTGGTGGCGCCGAGTCCTTGTGTCACCCCGTCATCGATAACAACATCCTCCTCGCTGTCGCCCTCGATCTCTACATTCTTGGCGCCTTTCTTGCCCTTGTTGCCGCTCTTGGGCTTGTTGATGAGCCACAGCAGATTCGGGTGGCCGCGACGGAAGAACGGGTTCGAGTACTCGCTGGGGCTCTTGTTCTTCCGCTCGCTCGCGCGCATGGAGTTGTCCGACAAGCCGACGCGCTTGTGGAAGCCGTACATGTTGAGTTGTCGCACAAATGAGGCGTAGTTGTTGTGCTTGAACAGATCGGGAATGAGCTTCTTCGCGAACTCGTCCTCGTCGAGAACGATGAACGAATCACCCTTCTCGGACCATCGAATCAGGTCGGAGTTCTTGTCGTCGTCCAAAAAGCTACGCAAAGGTCAGTACGTCACACGGTAAACAATCCCCACACTCAGCGTGCTGATCGCATCGCTTGGGAGGGGCACGGAAATCTCTGACCTGCTGAGCTTCTGGACGAAGGGCGGAATTTGCTTCCTCTTCTGCTGCGCCTCTCTCATGGCCTTGCGAGCCATCTCCTCCAGCGCCTCGATGTTATCGGTGGCAGTCATGTTGCCGTTTGGTTGTTGCTGCTGCTGTTGCAGAAGGGCGTTGTCGTCACCAACGAACCAGGGGTCGGCGGCAGAATCGAAATTTGGCCTGGCAGCGGTGGGCACAAGCGCTCTGTTCATCTGTCTTCGTGCAAGAGCATTGTTGGGGCTCGGCGTGGGCTGCACGAATTGCTGTTGTTGGCCGTGGACAATGCCATACGAATTCACGGCTGGGGGTGCGGTTCCGTCGACAAGGGCGGTCCCGTCTGCTCCTCCCCATCGCAAAAACTGATCGCCCGTCGGGCTGGGAAAAGACTGCTGAACTGCTGGCATCGGCATGGCAGGTGCTGGTGATGTTCCTGGAGCTGGTCTCTTTCGGGGGTTCGAAGACATGGGTATGTACATGTAAGTATCGCAAAGGTGCGAGCGAGGGCCGTCGAGAAAAGGACCAAGTCGCCGTGATATGCAGAGCCTCGGGGGTTGAGGACAGTGGCGGCTGCGGGGACCTTCTCAACAGCGGAAACTCGTTTGATGTTTTTTTTGTCGCGGGCCGCGGTTGTTGATTGTATTGTAAATTTCGGGGTGCAGGTTGCCTGACAGCCTTGTCGAGTTGTGGAAGCAAACCTTCTTCTCCTGAAGGCTATTGGATTGCAGGACCAAGGACGGATGGATCGGTCGGGATCGTGCAGCAGAGGCGGAAGGGCGCTTGTCGCATGCGCAAGGCCGGCTCTGGCGGGAAACGAAGGAAGAGCGGCGTTGTTGTCGTCGTCGTGGTCTGGTCGGGCAGGCGCGCTGGGTTTCCAGGAGCTCGTGGCAGAGGTGCACCGCACAGGCACTATATATGACGACGGCGGTGGGTTGGTTTAAGGTGTGTCACGGTCGTCAAAGGCAGGCAGGCCAGAACCTGAGTCAATCGCTGGGAGCCTGGGACGGTCTTTCGCAAAGGAAGTGTATTGTGAGGGAGAAACGGCAGGACAATCGTTCGAAGTTCGGGCGGGCAAAGGGGCCTTGTTGCGATAAGGCGGTCGTCAGTTTCGGCGCAAGGATGGGATTGTCTTGGTCTCGGCGGACTTTGCGAAAGCTCTGAATGGGAGGTCCGCTTCTTTTGGCGGAGAGGTGACGGAATGTGTGTTGACCCAAGGGACCTTAGGTAAGGCGACCTAAGGTAAGGTCAGGTCGGTGTCAACGTGAGGTAAGACGTTAGGCGCCAGTCCCATCCAGTCGCTCGCCAGTTCAGTCAGCGCAACGTGGAGTAGTGTGCTGGACGGGAGGTGTTGGCGGCGGAGCGCGTCCGTACTTTTTTTTTTTCTCTCCCCTCTAACACCTGGCCTGGTGGGGGGAGCGCAGCTAAGACTGCACGCACGCTGCTGCAGGACAGAGCGGTGTCTTGGTTGGCAAAAAAGATTTCAGGAATGAGGTTGTATCAGTGCCTAACAATTGAGACACAAGACAGCTGGATGCCCATGCAGAGGGTAAAAAACGATGAGGGCTTGACGGCAGAGTAAAAAATTCGAAAGAGATTGATCTGAAATTGTCTAGACCGTCTGAACACCCGAAAAAGAGAGGATGATGCTCCCATTATCAAGACGACGGCTCTCCAAGGGACTCAAGGCTGAGGTCCCCCAAAGTGGGGACCCTGGACAAGCAAGAGCCCCATCCACGCAGTGTTTCCCCCCCCTTCACAGAACATGCACCACACGCCTGGGCACCGTGGGCATTCAGGGCCCTCGAGTTGGTCGGGATGAGGTCCCTTTGCCACGGGACAGACCGTCCGGTCCAATCAGCTGCTGCCTTCACCGGTGTGCTTGGCATCAAAATCACGTGCTGATACCGCTTTACGCAGGACGGGCCACCCCGTTATCCCTTCACGGGTGGTCAACTTTGCATTGTGCAGCATAGCTGTGCAGTGGATATGCATGAGCCAGGCGCAAGAGCCACCAGCTGTCAGCGTGCCCGTCTGCAGCGTGTCCTCGACCGGGGGATCCATCCGACAGGCTGGCACCAGCTGTGTTTCCACCAGTGCTGCTCCAAACATGGGGTCTGGACTCGGCCGAACTGCCGTTTCTTTGCGGTGACAGTGGTGACAACTGCGAAGCACATCCCAGGCCATTTCCCCTCTGAGGCCATCGCGATGAGGCATGTGGAGCCGGCGGGGAGCCTTTGCATTTGTAACGTCATTTTCCCCCGATTCCTAGCTTATTTTTCGATCTCAGCCTCCAAGGCACGGCCCCAATTCAATTATTGTCTGAATAGCATCACGGAACCCAATTACTAACGCGTCCCTGAACTTTCAAAACCCGTCAACACGACTTCCAGGGGTATCATTGGTTTCCTCGACAAATGCGCAACCCAGAGTCGCATTGCACCCTTGTCGCTTGGCCCGTTTGGCCCGTCCGTTCTTGTCTCCTCTACCTTGCTCCTCTGCCCGCAAGAGCCGAAGCTCTCGCCATCTTTGCATTCCGTGCCTGGTCCCATTCCCGTCCGGAGTTTCCGCTCCGGGCCTCTCGCGATGCCTTCCGTTCTTCCTGGAGCGTCCGGGCCTTTTCCCTGGGGTCAATCACAACCAACTCGTCTTCGGCCTTCTTACGGTAGCTCAGGTCCTTGCCCAGCTTATCTGCCTTGAAACTGAGTGCATGCGACATCCATCCCTCATCGTCGCTGTCTTCCTGTCCAGCTTGGTCCCATGCCTTGCAGCTTTGGCAATCGGCGATGAAGTGCAAATCACAAAGTTCCGCCTCCTCCTCCGCGCCTTGTTTTTCCTCCCCGGTCTCCTCCGGATCGACAGATACCGGCCCACTGTCCTTTTCCTCCGGAGCTTGCTCCAGCTTCGACTTGAATGCCTTCATGAAATCCAGCGCTTGTTGGTCCTCGCGGGCGCTCGTGTTTCCCCCGCCCCTTCTCTTCCGGCCGCGTATCGATGTTTCTGGGATCATGCTCTCGAGAGCAGACTTTTTGGTTTCCTTGACCTCCTCGGGCTGATTGCTCCGCACCATTCCCGCCTTAAGTGCTTTAATCTCATCGTTCATCATCTCGAGCTTCGATTTGCGCGGCCGGTCTTCGGGTTCGGGCGATGGAGACGCTGGTACCCGAATTGGAATGTCACTCTTCCTCGGCGGTGACAATCGTTCCTTCGGCGGTATCGCCGCTATTTCCTCAACGGGAGTGGGTTCGTGTCTCGCAGGAGGGGCTGCTGATTCCACCTTGTTCTCTTTCGTCTTGGCCTTTTTCGGTTTGGTTTTCGTTTGGGCGGGTTCCTCTTCCTGCGTATCCATCACGATCCTAGTGTCGAACTTGGTCTTTTTCAGAACCGGAACCTCCTCCGCATCCCCCTCCTCATCCCCAAAGCTCAGTAGTTGTTTCCCCCCTTTCCTCTTCTTCTTTCTTTCGACCACCACAGTCTTTGGTGCTTGGGTCGCGACCCTCGATCGCTTCACCATGTCCTCGAAGGGATTCACGAGGATTTCAATGCTCGTGATCTTCACGGGATACATCGGTCGATCCGTCCCAGGTGTGACCTCCAACTCGCCCATCTTCGCCAAGTTGTAAATCGTATCGCCTGCGACTCGACCGAACAGGGTGTTTTTGTTGTTGAGCTCCTCGGCCTTGTCGAGCGTAAAGAAGAACTGACTACCGTTCGTGTCGGGTTTGCTCTCGTTCGCCATGCCAAACTGCCCGCGCCGATTCCACTTCAATCGTGAGTGGAACTCATCTTTGAACCCGATACCCGTGGGACCCGCGTTGTTTCCACGTCGCTGGTCCATTGGCCAGGCGTCGAGCTCGCCGCTGAAGCCGCCGCCGTCGTAGATCGACTCTCCTCCATTGCCTGTGCCAGTCGGGTCGCCTCCCTGCAGAATAAAGCCAGGCACCAGTCGGTGGAAGATTGTGTTGTCATAATAGCCGTCGAGGGCCAGTTGGAGGAAGTTGCGGCAGGTAAGTGGTGTTTGCTTTGCGAAAAGTTCAACCGAGATGTCGCCCTGCGTCGTGTGCATGATTACCGAGGCCGTCGGCTGCGGCTCGAGATTGTAGATGGACGACATCTTGATCGGTCGAGATGACACCTCTCCCCAGCCCGATATTCGATTCCAATGTCGAGATTGATGAGTGAGGCTGGTGTGAAGAAGATTACGACGTGAGATCGGGTGGGTGCAGCTGTTTACCAACGAAGGCGAGCTAGGAGACTTGGAAGGATCGTCGTCGCGAATCGCTTATCGATAACAGTCACGTGATCCTTCGTCATACCGATTAACTGTTTCCATGCCTTTCCGCGAAGGCAACTCTAGCTTCTCAAGATGCTTTCCTGGGTTTCCTTACAAGCCATTCGGGACAATTCCGACCGCAAGCCAATGCCTGAGAAACGGCTGATAACCTTAGATCTACTGCAAGATGATCGGGAACCGTTGAACCGTTTGATGCAACCTCGATCTACACCAACATGCGACGCTATCATCGTATCCAAAAAGTCCGAAATCCGACTCGGCCGAGTGCTGTCACTTACACGGCCGTGCCTTCTGGCAACGTTTGGCGTCCATCAAAGCATCCATGGCAAATGTAAAGGAATCATATCGTTTACCCTAATAGGTACTCACACGAACTGGCTAACCTTGTGGCATCGTTTTGGTCCGCGATCCGTCAGGCGAGTACCACTTTACGCCTACCCGGTATCGTCGAAGTCGAGAAAGGTAGGCCATCTATTGGGAAACTCTTCTTGTTATTTAAAGCGCACAAACAAAAAAGTCAGCTAGTCTTCCAGACAACAAATTCAACGTTATGCCTCGTGTTTGTTGCCAGTCCTCACTTGTTGAAACCATTGGGTGCCGATGTCTTGTGACCCTATTCAGAACGCCAAGCGCAAACGACCACTGTACGATTCCGACGATGGTTCGCCTATCAGTCACTTGAAGAAAGAGACTCTCGAGGGCCCTGAAACCCGGCAGAAATCTGAACATATAACCGACACCCAGGTTGATGCACTGAACCTGATGTTGTTCAAAGTCAGCTTGACTGCATCCGACCTCCCATTACCAAGCTATGCCTCGAAACACACCAGAATCTCCGTCAAAGAAGAGATAACAACATGTCCGAGAGAAATAATCGATCTCTTGCTCAAAGACCATTCCGCAGGAACGCTGCAGGCCAGGGAAGACGAAGCTCGGCGACTATGGCAATCGTTCATTGACGAAGCAGACAGTCTTTCTGAGGCCCAGAGTATTGGCTCTAGCGGATCCTCGGTTGCATGCGTAGCCAACGCTCAAGCGGAGATCCCACTCGAGGGTGTAGACCGGGAGGCTACCTTGTCAGCAGACGAGAGTTGGGAAGATGGAAAATATGGCGCATACATGGACGCTGACGAGCCTAGTCTACAGTCTGAGAATGGGCCGCCAAGCGATGCACAACTGCATACCGAGACAGGCGACATGTAAGTTTCCAATAATGATAGCCCTTGGAAAGAGCCCGGTACTCTTTTAATTTACTCGGTTGAAAGGTTAGCTAACGCTGTTGAAGGACGAATCGCTCAAGAAGCCGACAACAGTGTGACCAGCCTGACTGCTGTTGCAAATGCGACATTCCGGGATGCTGTCTCCCGTGCCAAGAAATACGGGATGGGGACCTGCTGCAAGGACAAAACGAAGAAATCCCTGAGATAGGTCGGCGCGAAGACCGCATCCTTGAACATGGTCTCCAACACCATCACAACCAGAGCAGAGAACAAAGACAGCCAAGCCCCTGCTCTAGCCCGCCCTCAATGATGTAATGAAATGAGCCACTGGCACGAAGAACAAAGCAAGAAACACGAAGCCGAAACAAGCCTTATTTTTGGGGTATTGATTTGTCTATTTCCTCTATGAACGGTCCTTGGCAAAAGTGTTTGCAACGATAAATGGGAACACCAGTGTGGCATCTGCATAGACCTATACCTTAATGTCAACATTGTCTTTGTCTCCGAAAGTTCTGCAATACGGCATACCTTGACAGCATCTGCATTAACCTTAATCTTTCCCCAAGAAACGGCCTCGTCCGGCCTGGCTCCGGCATCGCTTCCGTCAAACTCCTGGCCCGTGTTGATGTACACGGCCGACTCGGCGCCGTTGCGCATTAAACATGCGTTTGCGATGTGGTGCTTGATGACACCGCCACCGAGGATGATCATACCAGCGCGCTTCGCACGCACCGAGATGGTGTTGATACGGCGGATGTCCTCGACGATGTCGCACTTGAGCTGTCTCGGCGAAGCCTTGAACGTGTGGAAGTAGAGCATGTCTCCCAGGCTTCCGTCGGTAAGTGCCGGGCAGAAGACGGGGATGTCATTCTTCCACGCCCAGTAGTAGACGGAGCGCGCGTCGTTGATTTCCTTGCCCAGACGGTGGATCATCTTAGATGGTGTCCAGTTAATCTCATCGTCGGTACCCTTGCTGGCCTCCTGCTCCTCCAACATTGCGTCAAAGATGGGCACAACCCAGTCCTCGAAGGCGCGGTAATTTGAGTTTGGGACGACGAGGTTGCCAATTCTGTTCTGCCCCTTCTTGCGCAAGTCGGCGCCGGGTGCACTAAAGGAGGACATGTAGGTGTCGCCCAGGCACTTGATGAAGTCCTCTTCGACGCCACCGGCCGTTGTCACAATGGCAGAGACGTGCTTGTGCTTTACAAGCCATCGGAAAACTCCTCTCATGCCGGATGAAATCATATTCGACGTGTAGCCGAGAAAGATGGTGGTCTTATCCCCTGTCTCGGGGTCTCGCCATGCCCTCTTTCACCCATGTCAGCTGGGTCGCATCACAACAAGACGGCGTGACAGCCTACCATGTCGTTGATGATCCGGATGGACTCGCCAAGAGACGAGGCCTGGAAGCCCATGTACTTCATGCCGTTGAAAAGGTTCTCGGCGGTGATGGGCCCGTCAAGGTCGTCAAAATCCAGCTCCTCCACCTTCTGAGTGCCCTCGGGCATCTCCTCGGACACAACGAGCACCGCATCGGTTGCTGCCGCGGGCGGGGCGTTGGGGTTCTCTTGAGACGCCATGTTGCCTGTTTTGAGCAGAACTAGACACACGTCAGTCCAAGACCCGAAAGCAGTGAATCGGGTTGAAGATGAGCGAGGTAGATTGTTTTCAAGGTGAAATTGATGTCTCAGGCTGGCGGAACAGGTACATACCAGTGAGTGGCGATCTTGAAATTGTGGACACGAGAAATCGGCGGAGAATTGCACAGCTAAAACCAGACACAAAGCCCTGTCTCAGTCTTGAATCAACCCGAGATTTAAATCAGGATGTGGTGGGAGTAGATGAAGGGAAGCCACCTTGTGAAAAAGTCCGTCCACAAGCTACCTCGCAAACACAAACCACATGGCTCCGTCCAATGAATGGGCGGCGAACAGAGTCAGACGGGCATGGAACGACTGTGACTCCATGCCGCGATGTCCAGAGCATAGGTCGGCCGGGCTCCACTCTGCAAAGAATTTTGACGGAAAGGTGGAGTCGAGGACGAGAAAGGGCCGCAGGGTCTGAGGCGTGCCAGGGCCGATCCTTGTCGCCCTGTCGCTTGGGTTCGCGAATTCTTAGATAATACAGGTACGTATCTCTTTTTGAGACAGCCTGATTTTCCTGTGTTTTCTCGGGACTAAAGATGACGATAACGACGGTAGAAGGGATTAGAGAAGACGACGGTAGACGATAGTGGTTACAAGTCACGACGACGACGATGACAATGACGACATCGACGACGATAGCGAGCACGCAGGAAACGCAGTCGCTCTAAGGTAGCACAGGGCAAATACCCAGGTGGACTCCTCTTTTTTGTTTGTTTGTTCAATGTTGGCGTCTGTATCCGTACTCTGTACCTCGACTAGTTGCGCCTGTGTACGTAAGCATGGAGCCACCCAACCCAACGGAGCCAAGAGATGGAACAGAAAACACGGAGAACACAAGGAAGACGGGCAGCAGTGGAGGCTGGAAATTGGCAGGGCATGGCAGCTGTGGCAGGGCCTCACTGTGAACTGCCGGGGGTCCCGCTAGCATCTTCTTCGGGCTTAGCGTATGGGGCGGTAAAAATGAAGCTGGCCTGCCGCCTCGCGGCCCCCCAGCACGCTGGAGCCCCCGGGCAGCGCCTGGCGGATTTGAGATCCAGTCCAGTCCGGGCAGTCCAGTGCCAAATAAGCGCCACTGCACGCGAACCGTATTTTGCAGGCTGAACGTGGCCGGGGTACCGTCTTCAATCCTTCAACATCACACGATTGCTCCCCAGAGTGTGTCGCATCTCTCGCTGCCCGCACCTCGACCAGCAACGACAATCGAGTCGCCTTTCCATTTTCTACAGCATTACCCGACGACGCTCATGCTTATTCTGATCCTCGTCCATCCATAATCGCCATCATCCACTCACACAACTGCGCGACCCGCTGTCGGATGCACCCACTCCCCGCCGTGTCCGCTCTCCCGCTACCTAACCTCCTGAACAGCGAACACCGACCGACAGACGCTTATCCGAGGTTGGAACCCGACCACTCTCAAAGTCTTCCAACGACCCACGACACACAAGGTTCCAAGGTCCTCTGGTTCCACGTCCCAATCCTTACACATATGGTATTGGACCTTTTCCATAGCCAACTTTAAGGGCGACAGCCCAGCCTAGCGCGATGTGAGTCGAGTCGAAACAACAACCCCAAGTCATCCGTATCTCTGCATCAAGCTTTTTCCCTTCTTCGGCGATAGCCAGACCGAATGCCACTCCCTCGCGAGAGCAGGCGTTTTCAGAAAGAGACACTCAGATGCGACCGCCGTATGACCGCCCGGGCCGTCATGCGGGTGTGAGGCGTAACCTCGACCGGCCCTTTCATGCTAATCACGATCTCTACAGGGCTTCGAGATATTCCTCGAGGTATGACGGAGATCGTCGCTCTAGGTCGCCTCGCGACCGCTCGCCCGATCGCTACGAACGCGCTTCGCAGTACAGCGATGGCGACCGCCGTCGTTCATCGGCCGAAGCGCGCTCCAACACTTCCGCATTCCAAAATAACAGAGATTCATTCCGCGACAACCTATCCCGTGAGCCCCCGCGCGGCCCCAAAGCACTTTTAGACCCTCCAAGCGGCCCTAGAGGTGGCGGCTACGCTGGCGAGTTCAGCAGAGGACGGGGCAGAGGCCGTGGCCGCGGATGGTCTCGCGACGAGAGCAGAGATCGCGGAAGAGACCGCGATATTGACTTCAGAGATAGACGCGATGGACCTTACAGAGATGAGAGAAGTCGCGAGCGAGAACGCGACAGAGACTGGAGAGATAGGGAAGGCTACCGAGGAAGGCCGCGTTCACCAGGCAGAGGCCGATCACCGCCGCAGCGAGATTTTCGAGACAGAGATCCTCCGCTAGGCGTCGACGCCGAGAGATCTAGACGAGGCTCGAGAGACGGCGGACCACCCTCGGCCGGTTCCTCCAATTCCGATCCTCCATTCATGTCCCGTGGCGGTTTTAGAGGAGGCAGAGACAGAGGACGCGGGGGCTGGGGCGACCGAGGCAGGGGGCGAGGAGGCTTTTATGATGACCGCGACCGCGACCGATTCGGTCCCCGTAGTCGCTCTCAGGAAGGGCGCTGGGGCCGCGATCGAGACGACCGTGATCGTGGCGATAGATGGATGGACTCCGACGCCCGTAGGGATCCCCGCGACGACCGCGATCCTCGTGATCCCCGCGAACGAGAATTGCTACGACCTAAGGGCATTGAACGAGACCGTGAGCGCGGTACATCCTCGCAGGCACCGTCGCCAAACACAAAGGACATTTCTCCCCCGCCTCTGGCCCCATCAGCACCAGCGTTCGGAACGGTGCCCAGTAGAAACGCAGGCGCAGCCGACGGATCGCCCATTATTGGTGGCACTGGCAAGCTTCCACCGACGGCGCCAAGAGCATTCAACTCCGAACGGCCTGTGTCCGCCGGACACTCTGGCGGCAGCGAATTTCCAGCTCCACCCACCGGACCGGCCAAACTGGGTCTGCCAGAAGGTAGCCCACCGATTCCCTCGGGTCCTCGAGCTCAGCAACAAAAGCAGCAACGGCCGTCGAGCAAACAATGGATCAACCCTGCTTTAGCGGGTAAGAAGATTCCCGAGTCGCCCAAGATAATGAGGTCACAGAGCTTCGCCCAACAAAACCGACCAGTACCCTTCAGACATGACAGTGTTCCGGCCGATCACGGCGATTACGACAGACGTCCTCGTAGTAGTGATGCGAAGGCCGACTCTCATGCTTCGACCACGGAGGGATCTGTCAAGTCGCTCAATCTTCCCGAGCCCGGCGAGATCATCATCAAGAGTGAAAGAGACAGTTACTCGGCCAGAGCGTCAATGGATCGGGACGTTGACCATCCAGACGTTTCAAGGGACACCGTCATGTCGGGAACTGACGCACACGGACATGACGACTACCGACCATCTTCGAGGGACGACGAGAAGCTCAGGCTCTCTGACAGACCCCCCTTCGAGGACAGATCAGAGGAAAAGAACGAGCAGCCGTCCAAGCCCGCTAAGCAATGCCGAATGTCTGCTCACAGGGCGCGATTTGTTTTGCCCCCACAAGAGCCATCGGCACCCGTCTCTGAGCAAACTTCCGAATCCGACGACGATGAGGACTATGGGGAGTACTTCCGCAATGAGATCGCTAAAGAGGAGGCCGAACTGCAGAAACTTCAGCATGCCGCCGACAAGACGCCGGATCTCATAATTGCCCGGTACGCAGCAGTCTCTAACGACGCGATTGCGTCTATTTTCACGGAATCGGATGGTTTCACCGACATCATTGGCCAAATCCCAGAGGTGATTGAGCCACCTAAAGAGCCGACACCTGTCAAATCACCGGTCGTGGAACAGCGCGAGAAGACACCCAAGATCCCGAGTCCTGTTATGCAGATTAAGCCAATGCCAAAGGACATCGTAAAGGAAGTTGCAGCAGAACCCCCGGCGGCGCCACAACTCCCAGCAGCGCCTGAGCCTTTGATGGTACCTGAGATGAATGCTGAGACTGTGAAGGACATTAAGAAGGATGATGGGGAAAACGTGGCTGAAAAGGGTGCCGACAAACCGACCGAGGAACCCGCGGAAAAGCCGGTCGAGAAGCCGGTCGAGATCCCATCTGAGAAGCCAGTCGATGAAACCATCGAGAAGCCAGTCGAGGAGGCCGCTAAGAAGGCTGTTGAGAAGGCCGCGGAGGAACCTGTCGATAAGGAAATCGAGAAGCCCACGGAAACTATCAAGCCAACTGAAAAGCCAACCGAAAAGCCTGTCGAAGAAGCTGCCAAGGGCGATACCGAGATGACTGAAGAACCCGCAGTCGAGACCAGCATTGTTGAACCGCAACCTAAGACCGAAGAGATGGATGTCGACGAGCCGGCCACTCTTCACGATGCGCCTTCTCCTCCAGCTCCCGAGCCAGTCAAGGATAAGGACGTGGATGTCCCAATGGAAGACGTTGCCCCGGAAAAGCCATCTGCGGAGCAAGTGATGGAACGGCGGTCTAAGGAGCCGATTACCAACGGGCATCCTTTGCTTCAGCCTCCTAGCGAGCCGATCGAGACCATTGAAGGCGACAAGGCGTTTCCAAGCACACCCTCGCAAATGGAAGACGACGACGATGACAACTCTACCGAATCGGAAGACACCGATGCAATGCTCATTGACAAGATCCGCCAATTTTCCGCGACACCTCCGATTGACAGCCTACCCGACTTCGGATGTCGTCCTTGGCACCAGGACAGAGACTTCCTGCGAACTCTGGATTCCGACCCGTTGATTGATAGCTTCATCTTGGAACATCTTGGAAATTTCTCTCTCGAGAAGAACAAAGCTCAAGCAGTGGCAAAGAAGGACTACGCGGAGAATTATGTCAATTACCTCGACTTCACAGTGTCTAGCGACCCGATTGCAGTCAAGAGCCGAGAGACCTTCATCAGCTGCTTGCCGATGCCCGAGAAGCACATTCCCATCCCTCCTCCACCAGAACTCAAACCAGAAGGCAGGGGAGCTGGCAGAAGGTATGCGAGCGAGCGTGACCTTGAAAGAGTTCTGCAAGCCTCCATGCGCGAAGACGAAGAACGTAAGGAGAGAGAGCAGCGCGCCATGCAGGAGAAGTACCGCAGCGAAAAAGAGGCAGTCATTCCTGAGATGTACTGGACGCAAGAGGAGAGGGACGCCGAATACTTCAAGGATACGACCGGTTTCACCCCTGTAGAAAAGCTGGTGCCGGCCTGGCAAATCCTCCAGCCTATCAACAACTTCACGCCAGAAGAAGCGGAGCAGTTCGAGAAGAGATATCTCACGAATCCCAAGCAGTGGGGTGTGGTTGCTGAGAACGTACCGAAGCGCAACTTTGGCACATGCATTCAGTACTACTACCTGATGAAGAAGGAGCTGAACCTCAAGGACAAACTCAAGAAGCAACCCAAACGTAGGAAGAAGGGTAGAGGCAAGACTAGGTCCAGTGCACTCGTATCCGAGCTTGGGAACGCGGAGAACGAAGGCGAGGAGACCCAGGAAAACGGCGAGAACGGAGAGAGAAGACGGCCCCGTCGCGCCGCTGCTCCGACATGGGGATTCGAGCAGCCAATCACAGAATCCGAGAACACCACGCCTGCTGGCACACCAGGTCGTCGCGGCGCAAAGGCAGATCCTGACAAGCCCGATGGCAGGAAGAGGGGAAGAAGAGCAGCAAAGGACAAGGAGCCCAAAGCCGCCAAACCTCAACAAACCCTCGCAGCCGCGCCAACTCCAGCCTCAGGCAAGGGGCGGTCTCGCTCGAACTCACGCGTTCAGAATGTGGAGTTCCAGCCGCCGCCTCCTGTGCCGATGGAGAACCGACTGCCATCGCAGTTCGAGGCGCCAACGCCCGGTGTGCAACCGCCTTTTGCAGCTGCTCAGCAGCCACCTCTGGTTGTTCAGGAGCGCCCTGTCTCTACGACCCCCGTGATTTCGGACGTGATGGCGCCCCCGTCGCTGCGTCCAGAGCCGCCTCAACTGCCTGCTCAACCGACGCTGGCAACCTTCGACATTGCTCAGCCGCAGCCCGAGCGCCGTCCCCCAAGCACTGCTTCTAGCTACTGGAGTGTTTCGGAGGCAAACGACTTCCCGGGCCTATTGAAATCTTTCGGCACGGACTGGCCGGCCATTGCCACACATATGGGCTCCAAGACAGCTGTCATGGTCAAGAACTACTTCGTTCGACAGAGGGACCAGGGCAAGAGTGATTGGGAACAATTTGCTTCTGATGCCGATGCGAAGAAACAGAGGGGAGAGAAGCTACCCGATCCTCCACTGCCAACTGTTGGAGGGCGCAAGAAGTACGATTCCACTCCAGGCGGATCTCACCGGGCTATTGCTTCTGCTCCAACCGCAGCACCCACGCCTCCAGCCGCACCCGTCCCAGCCTCAGCTCCTACAACTCCTGCAGCGTCTACAGCACCAGTCACTGAGCCGCCCGCCGAAGTCGTCACGCCCAAGGTTGAACCAGTTGCTCAGCCGCCAGGCAACCCGCCTTTTGGACGTTTCACTATGCCAATCACTCCCGCGCCTCCTGCACAACAGCAACAGCAGCAGCAACAACAGCCACCTGCACAAGCAGTGGCGCCTCCTCAAGCTGTTCCCTTGCCACCCGCTCAGCCTGCTGCTCAGGCACCAATGGCTATCCAGCCGCCCCATCCCGTTGTTCAGCCAATTGTTACACAATCAGGATCGCCTAGTACTCGCCCCGTAAAAGCACCGCAGCAGCAGCCCTTCGGCTTTCCTGAGAGGGAGCGCGAGTCAACACAGCCACCTCAACCAGTCAGGATCTCCCAAAAGCCGTCTGCAACTCCAGTCACCGAGCCTATCCAGCAGCGTCCTCTGGCTGTCGCTCAGCCTATTCAACCCGCACAGCCTGAACCCCAGATTGATCGTCAACAGGTCGAAAGGCAGCAGCTGGAGAGGCAGCAAGTGGAACGCCAAAGAATTGAGCAACAGCAACAAATGGAGAGGCAGCAACAGCTGGAGCGACAAAGAATTGAGCAGCAGCAGATTGAGAGGCAACAGCAACTTGAGAGGCAGCAAATGGAACGTCAACAAATGGAGCGTCAACAGCAACAACAACTCGAGCGGCAAGCTATGGAAAGACAGCAGCTTGAGCGACAAGAGATGGAGAGGCAGCAAGCCGAGCGGCTGCAAATTGAGAGACAACAGGCCTTGGAGAGGCAACAGATGGAGAGACAACAAATGGAGAGGCAGAAATTGGAGGCTCAACAGGCACAACAGGCACAACAAGCTCAACAGGCCAAGGAGCATTTGCGACCCGAGCGCACACGCATGAAGCAGGAGCCCGAGATGACACCCCCTCACCACCGTTACGAGCCTTTCGGATTTGGTCAACAGCCGGTCCGGAGCGTTCCACCTCCCCGATCGGAACCGCCGGTCCCGGCCAGGCAGGCGGAGCCGCCTCGCGGAGCACCGACACCGGTGCCCCAAGCTTACGGTCAGCCAATGCCGCAGCCAGGCGGTCGTGGCTTACTCGGCGACCCTCAGCCATCGGTATCGACGCCCCCTGCGCAACGCCCGATCGCCAGTGCCCAGAGACCCATGCCCCCGCATATGGACTCTTATGGCACTCCGCCGCCTGCTGCAGCACCTCGTCCGCCAGCTTCGGAGCCACGCAAGACATCCAACCTCATGGCATTGCTCAATGACGATCCTCCCGCGGCTGCAGCTGCACCTGCACCGACGCCTCAGCCTAAGCGTGTTAACGATATGGCTCAAGTCAAACCGTCGCCCACGCCTCCTCCTCAAAGCATGTCTAGAGGCCCTGCGCCAGCGCCAACTCCAACACCATTGCGTCCGGAGCGAGAGCCCCCTCAAGCATATCCTTATGCCCGGAATGCTGCCCCATCTGCGTCAGCCATGCCTCCGCTGAAGCCAACATATACTGCTTCACCACAGGCTCAGCACATGAGTGCGCCGAGATCTACTATGGCTTCTCCTCACGACGCAGCAAACGCAGTCGAGCGCGACTATTACCGTCATCAATACCCGCAGCATCAAACACCCGCGACCAACTCACCTCAAGTCGCACAGCCTTATCCGCCTCAGGCGCAGCCACCTCCCCGAGATCACTACCAACCACAGACCGGCTACCCTGCGTACGGAGCTGCTGGCTCCCCACCCCAGCAATACGCCGTTCATCAGTCGGCATCTAGACGGGAGCCGCCGCCCCCGCAAGCTCGCGAAAACGCGTGGCCAACTGGACCCCAGGGCCACGCCATGGGTCAACCGCAGCCGCCACAGCAACCACCATCGGCCTGGCCGCCTTCTCACGCAACACCCAAGGCTCAACCAGCGCCGCCGCCTCAGTCTACTTGGGCATCTCCACACACATCTGCTCAAAAGATACCCACGGGTGGTATGCCGCAGCAATCCTGGGCATCCGCCCCGCCTCAGCAGCAGCAACCTCCGCCGCACCACCATATGTCTATGCGGGACGACAGAGGCGCTCCCATGTACGGCCAGCCTCCTCCCCAACATCCGCACGCCATGCAAGGTCGTTACCCGCCAGTCACTAGGGCACCTGAGCCGATGCCACCCCAGGCGCCGCAAGCTTATCCACCGCGATACGCGACACCGGGACCGAGGGACCAAATGCCGCAACGCAGCTACACGCCTGTCGGTTACGATGCTCGTGGTCCGCCTCCTGGGCCATATGGCGCCGATCCAAGAGAGATGCAAATGCGCGATCCTAGAGATCAGAGGGACCCTCGGGAGCTGCAACAACAGCAGATGATGCAGCAGCGGCAAATGGGCTATGATAGACAGCCTGACCGTTATGGTCGATAAATGAGAACCCGTCTTGGTCGGTTACACAGAAATAAAGGGAAAATGTACAAAATTCGAGCTCCAGGAAGACAGCTCAATCGGCTGGCTAGCTTGGATGGGTACAAGGGAGCGTTGGGGGGTTTGGCTGTAGATCATGTATTCAAATGCACTGTTTTTATCGTGCTTAGTGCACCATCAGAAAGGTTTTCAATTGAGTTAGGTTTATACGATGTCTTTGATCTCAGACGAGCAGTTTGACATCCACGCCACCAGTGACAAGTAACATGAAGCGAATGTCAGTCCATCGCGAACATGACGTCGATGTCGACACGTCGGCAAGAGACGTCTTCACTACAATATATGATCGCCCGCCCCTCATGCAGACTTTCATTGATTGGTGCAAATACTGAGCACAGTTAGGGGCGGTAGCAGGGACATCTCAGCCGGCTGAAGTGGGAGTCGATCAATACAATGTCGATAGCTACCTTCACCATTCGTATTCGGGATGGCCCACGGGCGTGTCAACCGCTTGGCAAAAGGTGTGAAATGGCAGACGTCTCATTTGGCCCGTCATGCTCTTGGTGGCAGCAATTATCCCACCGGAAAGTCTATCAGTTAGGCGTCCGCATAGCTCCCGGCGCCGAAGCCAATTGGGAAGAGAGTTTCTTAAAAGCAGAGATCCCGCGTTCAAGAGCAAAAGGCTGCTCTTTTGCTTTGATGGTAATTAGTTCTGATTGCTTGTGAGAGCAACGAGATATCGCCATGGCCGAGAATATGTCAATAGTTGGGAACGCCTCAACTTCTATCTTGCCGGGGGACTTTGGATTCTCACCAACGTTTCTCAGCCTCATTGCAGGATTGACTGCTATCGGACTTCTCATCATCAGATGGTCCACCCCTGACCTCGACGATCGAGAGCCGCCGGCTTTGAAATCTCGGGTTCCGGTGATAGGCCACTTGATCGGCCTTCTCTGGCACCAAGGCCAGTATTTCAAAGTCTTATAGTGAGAAGAAGCCTTTTCGACAGCTCCCTCCCCCTGAATAGAATGACTGACATCGCTATCCCCATTAGTGAGAGAGGCTTGCCGATAGCAACCCTGCCGATTCTCAACGGCAAACTCTACGCCATCTGGGACCCGGCCCTCGTGCAGTCTGCCTACCGCAACAAAGACCTCTCATTCGAGCCCTTCGCCGTTGAGTTCGCCCAGAAAGACCTCGGACTAAGCAACGATGTAGCCAAGCTTCTGCGGGAAACGGACCTTGTACCGGACTTTTTTGGTGTCATCCACCCTGCGTTGAATGGTGCCCATCTTCACCGCATGAACGCCAACGCGCTGAAGTACGTCTCCGCGGAGCTCGAAAGGATCGGTGGAGGAGTCGGTGATGAGAGCGGACTTGATGTGCCGAATTTGTTTGCGTGGGTGAGGAGGGTCATGACGCTCGCGACGACGGAGGGGCTTTACGGGGTTGAGAATCCGGTGATGAAGGATCTGACGTTGATTGATGACCTGTGGTGCGTATTCTCGAGAAAGAGAGAGGAGGGAAGAATGTGTGTTGCTGAGATGGTCGTAGGACTTTTGAAAGCGGCGTGCCCATGTTCATCCTCGACATCCTCCCGCAGTACACAGCCCGCAACGCCTTCCAAGCCCGCGCACGTCTTCAAGCGGGCCTGTCGAGGTTTTACATGGCCAGACACGACCACAACGACGACGTGGCGCAGATTGTCAAGGCCAGAGCGGATGTCCTGCGGAGGTACGGCATCCCGGACCGCGAGATCGGAACGTTCGAGCTGGGGCTGCTGCATGTTGGAACAGCCAACACTATCCCGGTCTTTTTCTGGTTTCTGGCGCATGTTTTTACGCGGTCGGAGCTGGTCGAGAGACTGCGTGAGGAAGTTCTGGAAGCCTCGCAGCGGAAAGAGGACGAGGCTATCATCGACATCACAATTTTTGAGAAGGAGTGTCCCCTGCTTGTGAGCTGTTACCGCGAGAGCATGCGGCTCTCGAGCAGGGTTATTGGGAATCGGAGAGTTACGAAGGATACGACTATTTCTGACGGGAAGAGCAGGTCTTACATGTTGAAGAGCGGGGTTAATCTACAACTCTCCGCTGAAGTTCTGCACCATATGGACCATGTTTGGGGTGAGGCTCCGGCGTTATTTGTTCCTGACAGGTTTCTGGCGGTCGAGAATGGGGGCAGGAAAGAGGTTGGGGACGAGAAGATGAAGAGAGCGGCGTATATTCCCTTCGGAGGGGGCCGGCACTTGTGTCCTGGGCGGAACTTTGCTTTTGCGGAGAATCTGGGGTTTGTGTCGGCGTTGTTGCTTGGATTTGAGGTGAAACCTCTGAATGGCAACGTTGGCGAGTTGCAGGTTCCGGAGGCAATGGCGTGTACGCTTGCAGATGGCACGCCCAAGCCGGTGAGAAATGGAGAGGGTTTTGGAGTGAGAATCGTGAGGAGGGAGGGTTGGGAGAAGGCAAAGTTCAGATTCGTGTGCTAATCGTGGATACGAGGCCACGCATAAAGATAAATGTGTGTGAGATGAAACTGCTGAGCTCCTTCGTCGAACGATGAGGGGAGATTTTTATACATGACGAAACTTGAAGATGCCAGTACGATGGTGAATGAAAGTAACACGTAGGAAGAGTCCACTGTCTCCTTTAAGTCTACCGAGAAGACTAAAGGTAATTGGTTTATCTTGCTCATATGCCTCTTAATCAAGAGGCTTTCCATACATGTTTTTCATGACACATTGCTCTTGGTGGAGCGCGCATGGGATATGTGAGGTTGTTTGTAACACCTGCGTAGCTGCGTAACCTTCTTCGTGACTACCTCATGTCCTTCCGCACTTTGTTCTTATCCCAACTTATATTGACTTGGAGCAATGGTCAGTTTCCAGTACATTGTTGGATGTTTCTGAGCTGCTGTGGTTTCATTCAGAGTCGCGAGGACGGGTTGTAAGTAACTAATGTATCCATAGTCATGACCAGTTCATTCCGACCGTATTCTCAATCTGTTGGGCTTTGTTATTTTCGAGTTCTTTTCTCGTCCACAGCTCGCATCCCACTCCAACCCAACTTTTAAGTTAATCTTGAACAACGATGCAACTCGAAGATTCGACATCCAGCGTATGGTGCATTCCTGAAATTGGCAAAAGGGCTGCCAGCGGCAAGGGCGGCTACGTTCCGCTGACTTTTGTGAAAGCGTTCGTCCCACTTCCAGCGTCAAAAGGGCGTGCATGTCAGTTCAAAGGCGGAATGGTGGATAAGCTTTCCCGCTGAAGATCAACGACATCTATTTTGACCCTGAGGTGTCCCGTCTAGATGGGAGAGGACATTCTCATGCAGACTCTTCTCTTGAACCTGCACCTCGTTTACTTCATTGCCTTTACTTGCCCGATATCAGTATGTCCGTAGCGTCACAAGTTGCTCTGGCGAGCTACGCCAACATGTTCAGCATCGGAACCGCCTACGCCCTCAGTATCGTGCAGTTCGAGCTACCTAGACTTCTCAAAGTCTCTCACGAGTGGTCTTTCGCCCCCTTCGGTGCAGCCAGCGCCGGTCTTGCAATCGGAGTCGCGACAGCCGCCTCCTCAATCTCAAAGAATGGTGCCCGTTCTGCTGCGGCGAGAGGTACAGCACTTTGGGGTCTCGCTGTGCTTTCCACGGGCCATTTCTTGGCTTCTTCGAACTTTCCAGGCCTCCTCGCCGGGCTGTTTATCGGTGGAATCGGCGTAGGATGGACATACCTCGCCGTTATCATCATGGTTGGCCAAGCATTCCCGAATCGTCCACTGGCAAGAAGCGCCATAGGACCTTTGGGCTTCTCTTCGGGCGCGGCCGCCAGCTTGGCCTTATCTTCGTTCCTCAGATTCAACACGCGAAGTGTGGAGGATGTTGGCGGCTTCCTCAAGATTGGGGGTGTGACATTCATAGCCGCTGGGGTCGCGACACAGCTGTTGTTACCCAGCGATACGACCAATGATCAACGGCAAGCACCATCTGCGCCGCTCGCGAAGAAGCCCGAGAACTTTCTGAAGGGCACCTTCTGGATCTTGCTCTTCTTCAACGCCTTGCCTGGAATGGTGGCATTCTCTACTCTCCTTCCGGGGGTCTCGCACTACAGGTCGACAGATCAAGACGGTTCTGGGAATTACCTGCCTTACACGATGGCCGCACTCGCCAGCGGAGGACTCCTCGCGACCCCTCTCAACTCTACTTTCGGAACCAAACGCACCTTCATCGTCTTTTTCTCCATCCGGGCCAAGCTGTTGATCGCTCTGTGGCAAACGTCGAACCAAGCCTTGGCCCTCGTCACACTCTGCGCAATCCTCTTCGCCCATGGGGCGGGCTTCAGCATCCTTCCTGGTTTGATCAAATCTCGATTGGCTGAGCCAGCGAACTTTCCTCAAGAGTACGGTCGCGTTCTCACGGCATGGGGCGCAGCGGGAGTTGTCGCCGGCGGTCTCAACGCCACTGTGAACACTTCTTTTGGGAATCTAGAGACGTTGAGTCTTGCGATGGGGTCGATTCTGCTGGTTACCGTTGTTGGTATGGTAGTCACTCCTCTCGGCGTGTAAGACTGATGTGCTGTCAAAGAATCTAGGGAGTGGCATTTCAAATCCACGCTCTTGGAAATGGAACGGGCCCTGGAGCAAACAGTTGAAAAAAATACCAGTGGCGTCACACAACCATATCGCAACATTACAGACTGCCGGACTTCTGACTGTCCGAATTCCTTCCGCCGTTGAGAACCCTCTTACATCCATGAGCTGCAAAGATTGCTTTCGGAGTGAAGTTGGAGCGGCTCACGTCAGTCAAGGGCCTCCACGGCAAACCCGCTTACTCAATGTCGATCCCCGGAAATAACAGGGCTTGAACTAATTAAGCGGTCAGCGGGCGGGAAAGCCGCCGAAGAGAGATAACGATTATGTACATTACATACGACTCGCGAGAACAACTTGCAGGGTTCATTTGTCAGGAAATGTGACGTTCATCCGAGTTGCAGGGGTGTTTGAAAGAAACTCCCCGCGTCATGTACGCAGAGGATCACGAACTACTCGGAGGCATATGGAAATCCTAGTATAATATCGACTGAACAGCTTGGGCAAATTTGAGAATTTTTGGCAGAGAGTATAGAATTCAATCAAGCTTCAGGCGTCTCAGAAGCGGCCCAATATCACTCTCGCGATCCCCTCATTTGCGTCATTTCTTCAGCAGCACATCGCCCTCAATATCCAATATGTCTACATTTGAAGAAAAAGTCACCACCGCCGTTCACGATGGCATTCTGCCAGGCGTCTTACTATACGCAAAGGACAAATCAGGTATCATTGCTCTGCCTCTTACTTGACTCTGTCTCTGACACGTCTAGGCCGCCTAAACTACTCCCAAGTCATCAACTCTCAGAACGCACCCCACGTTCCACCCATATCCCCAACATCAACTCTCTGGTTAGCTTCTGCAACAAAGATCATAACCACCATCCCCGCTCTCCAACTCGTAGAGCGTAACATCGTCACCCTAGATGAGGATATTTCCCCCCATCTCCCCGCCCTTGCCTCTCAACCGGTTCTTAGCGGCTTCACCAGCTCCAACGAGCCCATTCTCTCACCCCGCAAGAATCCAATCACCCTACGTCAGCTTCTATCCCACTCCGCCGGAACGGGCTACGACTTTCTCTCTCCTGAAATCCAGCGCTGGCAGATTCTCAACGGCAAAAAACCCGTCTCAGGATCAAACGTGGAAGAGCGCTTCTCCTACCCGTTTCTCTACGAACCCGGCACACACTGGGCGTACAGCAATGCCATCGACTGGACCGGTCGTCTCGTCGAGGTCCTGACCGGCCAAGACCTGGAAACTTACATGCGCCAGAACATCTTCGAGCCCCTGAACCTCAACTCCTTCACATTCAACGCCGCCAATGTGGAAAAGACCCTCTGGCCGCTGAGCACCCGCAACCCGGAGACTGGCAAAGTCATTCCTTATACCGGAAGACATCTCAACAACGGTGTAGAGTCTCCGCTTGGAGGTCAGGGTCTGCACGGGAGGATGGACGAATACATCGAAATTCTCTACTCCCTCCTCATCGACGATGGCAAACTGCTCCGTCCAGAGACCACTGCGGAGATGTTCAAGCCTCAGCTAAGTGCCCAGTCGAAGAAGGCTCTGCTGCATAACATGGACACCCCTCAGGGATTTGTGGGAGACTTTCCAGATACCAAGGAGTATGACTGGGGACTCGGTGGGATTCTCATCGACGGGGATAGCCACCCGTATCGTAAGAAGGGGACACTGATCTGGAGCGGAGCAGCTAACATCTTCTGGGTAAGTCGCATCACAATCCCCTCAAAACAACTGAGTCAAGAGTCTTGCAAACTGACATTACCATAGTGGATTGATCGTGAGACTGGAATCTGCGGCCTCTTTGGCACGCAGATCATGCCAGCTGGAGAAATCGTCACGAAGGGATACATCAAGGCTTTTGAAGAAGAAATATATGCGAGAGCCCAAGCATTGTAAGCACTGAGTATCAATGTTACTGAGAATCACCACCCAAGATCATGACCTCTTCAGATAAGCAATTGAGCATTGCCGATTGTCGTTGCTGGTCGGTGGGGTTCAAAATCTTCCCACGAAATTCTTATAACGTCGGGCCGTGAGCCAGCACTACGGAATCATCATAAGAATACTTCGCGAAGAATAGAGAGAGAGAATAATATCAGCGGCTGGGTGTATTTAAATAGACTTTCTAGACCATGATATACGGGCCTCCAAAAACTTCAAGAACATGATGCAAAGTCACTAATGAATGATGCACCTGGAGCGAACATTGCAAATAGTTCGCAATCTGTCGCTGAGCAAACTCCGACTTCACGCGGGGCCGGTCTGCTTCAAGGCCCGCCCCGTAGAAAACGGCTTCAGCATGTTTGATTGCCCATTCTAAGTCAACGTGTAGAAGGCATTTGCTCAAGCCATTCACCCAAGAAACGCAGCGACAAATCCTTGAGTTTCCCGTTCTCTTTCAATGCTTGGAAGTGACAACCCTGCTTACATTCGTTCATGCATCATGACTTCGTATAATATACCGACCAACCGCCCGTGGACTATGCATATAGAATATGACCTAGGAGATAGTGTCAAGGAGTAGTGTTTGTGGCTTACGCCTGGATCTCTACTTATGGCTGAGTTGTTGGCTATTGTGGTCTACTCCAGAACCTTTGCCTTTTTCTTCGAATGTCTTCATTGGGCCCTAGCCCAAGAGAACATTGTCTGCATCGGCCATGATTTTATTGCGAATTGCATCTTGAATACCTAAATACGTACAAGGATACCTAGTTGTTTGGGCCTAACAACATTCACAGCAGTGGTCCGTAAGAGTCGCGGCATATAAAAAGGAGGGATGCCGGCAAGGTAACTCCTCGGGACAGAACTCATGGGTTTCGAGTATTGAGTCCTTCTATTGTGATCAATACGCAGAAGGTCATCCCCTAAGCGACCCGCTTTCTCATGGAGAACGACGGCTCAGAGGGCTTTCATATCAGCTTGGCCTCAAAAGCGGCTGCCGCATGAGTATAAACCCAATACACCACAAACAACGGAAATCGAGAACAGGATATGATTAAGTCAATGCCTGATAGACAAACACACACATATATGGAACCGTACTCCTCCTGGAGGCCCCAAACCTCGCCATCCAACAACGTGGGAAGAATCTACTCAATCACCTGAACCAATTGCTGTTGCCGTACAGTAAGTGATCGGCCAATATGCCATTTATATTAGAACCATACAACCAGCATCGATTAGGGGATGGGAGTACGAGGGATTCAAATCACTCAATCGAAAAGCATGGTGCAAAACTAAAAGTCCATCATTCGCCTTCGCTAAAAGCTAACACGACAAGCGCAAAAAGAGGTATGCGGCCAGCCAGGCAAAGAACTCAATCCTGCAATGCAAAAAAATAAGAATCGGGAAAGCTCCCACACGAAAAAAAAGCTCCGCCATGTTGAAGCGGGTCGGTAAAAGAAGAGAGAGAGGACAAAACAAAAAAGGTGTTTGGACATATCCTCCATACGGGCATAACACGTAGAACCTTTTCCATCCCTTACGCTGCCGGTGGTGGTGGCGGCTTCTCTCCATCTGGTGCGGCAGCGGCAGCGTCGGCGGCGGCACCTGCTTCTTCCTCTTCCTCTTCTTCCACTTCTTCGTACTCGTACTCGACACCCTCCTCCTCTTCTTCTCCTTCGGCGATGATGCCGTTCTGTCTTTCCCACACTTCCTTCCTGATTCTTTCGTCCTTCGCCAAGCGGGCCCTCTCGACCTCCTCAAAGCCGCCTGATTTCTTCAGCTTGCCCTCCTCCACGAAATTCGCAAGTTCTCTCTGCAGTTCGTTGCCCTTGCGGCCCGCAAGCTCCTTTTGCCTGAGCTTCTCTGCCCTCTCGATAGCTTCCAATCGATTTTCGTGATTAGGCTGTAGCGCCCTGACCTCTCCCAGAACGCCATCCTTCGCGGCGTTCTGGTCAAGGCTGTTTCCCAGGTTGTTTAAGCCCTTGGAAAAGTTGCGAGCAGTGCCAGCGCTGGCGCTGCTGCCGTTATCCTTCATCTGTTCCTTGGTGGCCTGCTCGACCAGCGCAAACGTCTCCGAGGCCTTTTCCAAGTCGTCCTGCAGATCGACCATGAGGTCCTCCATAAGGCGCAGCTCATCACGGCCCTTGCACACCTCCTCAAGCTCCTTCTCCCAGATCTTGGTCCAGATGGGCTTCTCCTCCTTCATGTAATCCTCCACCTTCTTAAGCTCCTTCGAAAGCTTCGTAATATCCTTGGCGACGCCCTCGAGTTGCCTAGGCAGCGGTCGCACACCACGGAGAACCACATCCTTGCGAAGGTCTTCCACCAAGTCCTGAAGATCGTCGACCCTAGCGACGAGTCGGTCAGAGTCCGCGTTGAGTTGTTCGCGGCCCTTGGTGACGTAGGCGTGGCCGGTCTCGCCCTCGATGGTGGGAACCGAGGCCTTGACCACTGCGGACTTGACGTTGCTCGCCTTGTTGCGGATGAGGGACATGGAGCCCTGGATTTCCGACTGGAACTTGGAGTAGGCTTGTCGCATGACCGCGAGGTCACGGCGGAGGCTCTGAATCTCAGTCAAGTGGGTGCCAGCGAGCTTGCGGCCGCCTCCAACGGCGACCGCGCCGGCTCCGTCGGCTGGTGCAGCGACCACAGGTGGCATTGCTGCCAACCTAGCCATTTCCGTTGCGGTTTCTTGCTGGCGGTCCGAAACTCGTTGGATCGCCAATCCTTGGTCATCCACATTCTGCTTAACATCCTGTACGATCTTCTTAAGTTGGCCAATGCCATCATCGATGTGGCGCTTGACCTCATCCAGGGCCTCGACGTTAAGGACAAGAACGGTACGGTCCTTGATGTCTGATAGGTCCTCCAGCTCATGCCTTACCCCTGAAACGGGATCTTGGATATAAATTTCGGGCAAATCGGCACCGTTAGCCTGGGTGTTCCAAGAGAACTTCTCGATGAAAGCTAGCTGGAGACGGCCCAGAGAAAGCTCGCTGTAGCCCTCCGGCAGCACAAACTTTTTGACCTTTGACTTGTACTGCAAAAACAGAGTCAAATCTTTCGTCAATGGCGGGGATTGCTCTGAAAGGAAGGTTGCGTCTCGCTTCTTCTCGGGTGTTCTGACTTGCGGCGATCTCGGCTCGTCTTTCACCGGTGGCAGCGGCTTTTGCGCGGGCTCGTCATCATCAGGAGACATGATGGGAAGGTCATCGCTGAGAGGCCCATTGATGGTAGCACTAGGTTTGGGATACTTGTCTTCGGGGGTCTGAATCGTAGGACTCTCCGGCCTAGCTGTGGATGTCTCTGCTGATTCCTCGGCACCCCGACTTGGAGCGGGCGATGAGTCTGCTGGAGGCTGTTTCGATGCGCGATTTTGACGAAGAGTCTCCCGTGTCTGAACCGCACGGAGAGACTCTCTCACCTCGCCTCGGCCTCGGTTGGGTATCGGCGAGTTTTGCGACGGCAGCATAGGCATGCCGTTCACAGCGCCGCCCAGATGCTTCGAGATCTGGTACTGCGAGTATCGACGAGACGCCCTTCTCTCCAAGTCACCTCCCTTCTGCAGGGCAGCGAACGCGCTCGACTGCTGCTTTGGCGGTGGTGGGGGCGGCGGGAAAGAGTCAACGTTGATCTCGTTAGACGGCTGAGAGGGCATCGACGTCTCGTCTCCGGGGTATGGCGGCATGACGGGGATGTTCTGCATTGTTCCGCTGGACATGGACGACTGCTCTGAGTTGACGGAACCGCGAGACTGATCTCGAGGGGGCATGTAGCGACGGTTTGGAGACGTAGCAGGTGCGCCAGCTGACTGTGACGATTCCCTCTGCGCATCTGGCCGATAGCCATTCTGTATACCCTCCTCGAGCAGATTCGTTAGGCCAGTATTCGTGCTACCGATGGTACTCGTGCTCGTTGTCCGCTCCGGGGCTCCCCCCGAACCGCCACTTTCCCTATCTCTCGGTCCCTTCTGTCTCAGCTTCTGCTGCTTCCGCTTGAGGCCGTGGAGCAAGTTGATTATAATGTCGCGAATACGTGGGAGGTATTTCTCCAAGCTCTCGGTGCTTGCTTCTTGACTAAGGGTAGCCTCTAGAATACTTCGCAGCAGTTCGGGAACGTTGCCCAGGTCGGAGGTGTCCACGTTGATAGCTGTGAATGCCCGGCAGGCCATGTTGAACTCGTATCCTAGTCTCACATAGACGTCGGAAACCTGGCCGTCGGTGGCTTGGCCGCGCGACCATTGTGTGAGAGTCTCGAGAAGCTGTTTCGTGGCAACTAGCAAGTGAGTGACGCTCTTCTCTATTTGCGATAAGGGCATTTGAGAGCTAGTAGAGTTCTGCGGAAATGTCTGGTCAGTTTCTTGCAAGATGGTTGGGAGGAGCTAGGGCTTGGTGGGGTGGATTGCAAGAGGAGCCCAGATCTCGGGCAACAGCTTGCGAGCAACGCCGAGCACCGTGGACAACGCGTGGTATACTCACATTTGATCTTCGCATGCCATTTGGAGGCGCCGATCGGTTCGAGGCGTTGGAAGAGCGCGACTGTACGCTGTTACCGGGCGATATCGAACGTACGGGAACATTTGGTGGGGGCCCAGGTTCGGCACCGGGGGAGCGGCGTTGCATGCGCTGAGAAGGGCCTGGCGGTGCCTGCATCATAACTGAGGTCGGTAGTGTGACGTCTTGCGATCAATATGTTCCTCCCTCTTTCTCGCTCTTCCCCAAGCAAAGTCTCCGGGGCAAAGGTAACCAAAAATAAGAGCTCGGATTCGATTGAAGGAGCGACGGTTGCTATTCGATTAAAGGTTCGCCAATCATGCCCGTCCAGGAGGAAGACTCGGAGGAAGAATGGTGAGCTGAGCGAGGGCGAAAAGTTGGAATATGCAGGAGCAAGGAGGTCGAGAGAATCTCATCCGATGCCGAGTCCGTGGGCGACAGGATACCTTAGTTATCGGCGGCGAGCGGCTGCGGTAGGGGATCGTCCGGTTCGGTGCAGGTCAAGACAGCAACAGCCAGAGTCGGACTGGCGTGGCGTGTGTTCGGTTGGGAAAAAGAGGCCGTGGGAGTGCAGGATTGCTGGCGGGACGGCTTGGTCTGGACGGATTCGGTGCGCAAGTTGGCAGGTGTCGCAGACGGCGGGAATGTTGAGCTGATGACTGCAAGGTTGCCGCATAGACTCGCAGAGCGCAAAGCAATTACGAGGTGCTAGTATGTATTTACGAGGTAAGGCCCTGCGCTGCGTGTATGCAATGTCGAACCGTGTTCGGAAAGCGGTGCGGTGCGGTGCGGTGCAGTGCGGTGGACGACTGACTGGAGGCGAGGAGTGGCTCCCGGGATGGATGGCTCTGGACTGCTTTTTCGGCCCAAGACCCAGTTGCAGTGAAGCCCAAGGAACCACTGAGGTGGTGACTGGAGGCCAGCAAAACCCGCTGTAGAATGACTGCCCCCGGTGCACCCATGCCCTGTAGCGGTGCGTCAGGGCCCCGTCACCGTCCGCCGCAAGCACCAATCCGCTTGCTCGCCCATCCCTCGTCAACCCCCAGTCCGCCGCCCACCCACTGTCCGCTGCCCGTCCTGCCCGTCACATCATCCTGACAGTGGAGCGCTGAGGCCTGACTGGCTCCCAAGGGCTCCCAAAGTGGCTTGACCCCCCCTGTAATGCCAGTAAGCGAGAGAAACGCACGTGCCCTTTACCAGCCACCTCGACGTCAACTCGTGTGTGCTATTGGCCATCGCGATTTGCATCTCTTTTTTTTTCCAATGGAACACGCAAGTTGCTCACCTCCTTCCGGTCTCGTCCACTTTGACTGTCCCGTCCTGTCATCCATCTCGTCTTCTCACCCCTTGAACAGAATACAAATATCTGGGATGAAACACACTGGAATGTTTCAAAACAACCATAGTCTGTCATATGCGTAGGAGCGGGGTGCTGTCATCACACCTGCTAGATCTCCATTTTCAATGAATATCTCGACCTCGACTCCAGAGATACTAATGAGGAGTCGACCTCAACCCACCGCGATGCCCATCCATCCATCCCTCATCGCGGTCCGGGCGTTGCTTCGGTTAGCACGAGGTGTCTGCCCGCGTTAAAATCCTTCCCATGCGTTCCCACGCGTTGCCATGCTTTCTCTGCCCCCTCATAGGATCAGTGCATCCAAGTGTCACTCTGCAACCACAACGCTACCTCGACGTCTGAACCCTGCCAGCCACTGTTAGAGGAAGACGAGCCTGGCGTTTCAACCTTTTCCTCGTGGCCGGGCGAACCATGACTAGGGCGCGCCATTACATCACGAACCGCTACTGCACTACCGACACGCGGTGCTCTTTGGTTCATTGCCATCTTATTCTCCGTGATCTACAGAACGAACCACTGAGAAGACCCGGTCGCATCAAACGGGGTCGTTGACAACTGTCACTCCAGTCAACTCAACCCAGCAGCCGAGTCCAGACATGGGCACTGCGCCACGCGCAAACGGATTGCGATCTGCTTAAACCCCGGTGACTGGAAAACGACATGGGTTACTATTACGGAAATACAGCATTAACCTGAAGAAGGCGCCAGCAGGGACCTTATCCTGACTCCAAACCTATCGTGCCTCGCGCGACTATACAATCAACTCAGCCACGCTGCTTGGTTTATGGCAGCAGCTTGCGCATGAAAAAGAACGTGTGTACTGAGGCCGTCACCAGCGGATGGAAAACCCACGGCGTCTCGAACTTGGCGTGCCTTGCTACCGACCTTGCGATCGTGGTCTGCGGCGAGCCGGGTGTGAACATGTTGTCGTGCATAAGCTCCTCCGTCAGCCGCTGCACCTTTTCCATGCGCGGGAACATTTCCTTCTCGAATGCCTCGACCTTGCGGTCCAGGATTTCTGGGCTTCCTCCTTCAGTCGCAGCGCCAATGATGGCCTTGGCCAAGTGCATCGCATCCTCCAGGGCGACGTTGATACCCTCACCGGCATACGGCGTCATTAAGTGGGCCGCATCTCCGATGACCGTAAACCCGCGCCGGTGCAACCACTTGAACCCGACCGGAAGCATGTACAGCGATCTCGGTGTACACTCGCCCTCCGCTTTGACGATTGCATCCGTTAGCTCCGGGCTCCAATCTTTGTACAGCTCCAAGAGGTGCTTCTTGACTGCGTCGATATCGTGTGAGTCGTATCCGCACACTGCTGGGCTTGACCATTTCTCTTCTTCCGACACCACCGCGGCATACACACTGAGACTCTCGTCGCCCATCTGCTGAACTGTGATACGCTGCTGGTAGCTGTTGGCGAAGAGGTTTCCCCTGTTGACCAACTTGGACAACTCGGGCGCAGTCTCTGCAGCGTTCGGGATGCTCAAAGAGTAAAGTCCAATCTTGGTCCAAGAAGGCTTTACTTCCCGCGCGAGTAGCTGGCGGACCTTGCTCCAAGCTCCATCCGCACCTATCACCAGGTCGAAACCCGCCGCCGAGGTATGTTCAAAGTTGAGCGTGCCGTCCTCGCCGACTGACTTGAGGCGATGTCCCCACTTGATCATACCCTTGGGCAGAGAATCTGCGAGGATTTCACGTAGTTTGGGTCGGTCGATTTCTGGGCGTTCCTGGACACCACTCCCCCATCCTTCTGCCGTTCTCACAAAGTGGGGCTTGTTGTTCTTGTCGACAATGGCCATGTACTGTCCATCGTATCTGGCATGCTTCAAGAACTCATCAAACAGACCCGCCTCTTTCAACGCAGCTAGCCCGGTGTTGGTATGAAGGTCCAAGCTGCCGCCCTGCGATCTGAAATCCGGCGAAGACTCGCTTTCATAGACCGTTGCTTCAATGTTGGCTAGATGCAGAAGCCGTGCCAGCATACATCCTGTGGCCTTGTAAGCCGATGTTTAGGCGTATGACAAGAAGAATGCTGTGCATTGGGTCAAGACTGCAATGCATTATTAGACTTACCAGCAGGCCCTGCACCAATGATGGCTATCTTGAGGTTGGTCATTTTGACAAGGGAGAGTTACGGATCGCCCGTGACGATGATTCTTGAAAGTCAATCGATTCAGGCCAGTGAACGGGCAAAATAGATCAGAGTTGTAGGCACGAATCCTCTCTGATGAGTAGTATCTTACGATGACTTTGAAGCGTAAGTGAACAATTGTGAACAGCCCAGACTGATGGAATGAGGCCTTGGCAAACGCGAGTTTAAGTACGCCGCCGGGTTTTGGCTAGCTTAACCTGCTGACAGCCACCAAGTCGCTCACCATTCCCTTGCGGACGGGTATCTCAACGACGCCGCGTCGGCATCCTCGCACACGCATTCGTCACACAGGCAGCAGCGCCGCAGCTCCGTGCCCGAAGCCGATTTTCCGGATAGTGGCATGGTAGACCAGCCCTATTGGGCTGGCTGACTGAGATGAGGCCGTACACAACAGAGGCCGCGGATGCTCCGTCGACGGATTTTCCACGGAGCTGACTGTCAAGGACGCTGTATCATCAATCGTGCACGTTACCTGCTAAATCCCGAAAGTTTAACTCTTGCCGATCTCCTGGACGAGAAGTTGAGGATGAGAAACAACTGGCAATTTTCGGCCATTAACGGAAGGACGACGGCTTTAGTGAACGTCGCGGCTTCGGGCTCACTGATAGCGCGATGCTCTAAAGGCTGATGTCAGAACTTGTTGGTTCGCGAGAGCAAGACAGACAACAGTGCCGATGTCCCGGGTAATCTTCCAGGTGCATAATAGCACTGATGCAAGGCAATTTTGAAAGAAGTTCTGTCATCCCATCTTTGCTAAATAGATGGTAACTTGATCTCAGCTCTGAGTGGTCCGGGCTGAGTTGCTACGATTGGGTGGAGTCCACGCACCTAAGGTACACTGTACCCGACCAGCAGCCGTAGACTCACCTTCCGTTGTGTTTGCCTCAGGCCACCAAGGCATCGAACTCGGAGCTTGCGCTTCGGGAATCTAGAAACCTTCAATTGGCATCACAACCGCCGAGCTACGTCCCACTCCCGCATCTAATCAACCACATCAAACCCGTCCCGTCCTCGAAAAAACCGCCAAAATGGTCTTCGCCTGGAAAGCCGCCGGTCTCACGTGAGTCAATTGATTCCGCCCACGATACGATTGCGTCGGGAAAGCGACAGAAAAGAGGGAACGGAAAAGGCTAACCCGGCAACCCCCGATCAACAGCTACAACCGCTACCTCGCCGTCGCTTCTCGCGTCGTGCGCCGCAGCCTGAAGGAGGACAAGAGAATCGCCGCCGAGCGTCGCGGAGAGATGGAGCTGCGTTTCGCCAAGTGGGAGGTGAGCGACAGATAGAAGCGACCGACGAAAGAGAGAACATTCGCGCTGACAGAAATGCCCGCAGAACGGCAAGCAGGGCGACCCCAAGCCCCTCGCCCAGGCCACTGTCGCCAAGCCCGCCGCCTCTTCGTAAACCGATCTACCGAAAGAAAGGGAAATAGATGAGATTGTATGAGCGACGGAGCATGACGTGCGTCGAACAGGATAGATGGGGGTGGACAGATGGAAGGGTTGAAATGCAAAGCGCCCCTTCCGGGCACCCGCCGGCTCCTAGGCAGTGAGCTGCTGTATCATATCAAAAAAGTGGCATAAAATCTGTCAATCCGATGCCTCATCTTGCCAAAGTTTTCTGAGCACTCACTTTTTTTTTACTGGTGGGATTGGTGCCTCTGAAAGTTGCGATGTCGGGCACAGTGACGAGCCGCTCGACATCGGCCAGAATGTTGAGCGTGCTCCCTCCACAGACCCAAATTTGCCCGCCGCCGGACAAACTCGGTTGTGATCGCTCCATGTTCCCGTCGCAGGTACTTCGCACAACAGCACCAAGCGCCTTTGGCCTGCACGCCGGATTGCAAACAAGTGACTGCCTCATTTATTTCCACAGGCTTACTGCAATCCCGTCCCTGCGGACCTTGCTGGCAGAGTTATTGTGGCGCGCCCCTCCATACCATTTTTATTCGGCCTATCCATGCCCGGCTGCAAAGTTACTGTGACCTCACTAAAACCGCACTCCCTACCAAGCGTCACTCAACAGAGCCTCATATGAGGCGCATCTGCTGAGATGGCCATTTCTTCCGGCTTTGGAGTGTCCGAAGGTGGTTTCCTCATTTTGAACGGTCCATTTGCACGTTGCTAAACTCAACCTAGACATTTCAAGGCTCTCGCTGGAGCAAGGGCGCGAACCCCCGCCACCCCCGCCGCCCAACATCTCAAGTGACGGCATCGTCGCCTTTGATATCACATCAAAATTCACCGCAGCCGCCGAGAGTGAGCTTCAACCGTGAGCTTCTTCAAGGCAAATATCAGTACTGACTATTATCAAGAGCTTGAGCCTGGCGAGCTCGTCAAAGATGGCTTCTTTACCCTGTTTGAGTCCGTTGGGGCTCTGGAGGTACGCGGAAATGCTGTTGAGATGACCACGAACTTCACGCTCACCGTCTGACCAGATCATGGATCCGAAGATGGATAGCGGTTGCCTTGAGGCGGAGGAGTCTCTTGACGTAGACTACGACGTATCACGGCCTCTCCTCCCCGAAGAGGTCCTTGGCATTATCGACCAACTGCTCTGCCACGAGGTAGGTGCCTGCCTCCGTCAACATAGCACCCAGCTAACGCTCAGATAGATGGCCTGGCATGTCGGATACCCCCTATCCCAGACTCTATTCACAAGTATATACGTTGAGTCAATTTTGATGCCCAACCCAACTACTCTCGATGACGCCCATTTCATCCGGGACGCCAACGGCAAACCACCAGCACCGATGCACGCTGTCCTCCGGGCGTACATCCTAGGGTTGCTCAAAACATGCGGCAATGTCAACGAGAGGATAAAGAGCGAGCACTACTATGAGGTAAAACTCTTGCCCTTTCTCGGTGAACTTGGCTGAACGTGCCCTTAGGAGGAAGACTTTGTTACAAATACCTACAACAGAGTCCTGCTCGACGACTTCAGCGTTGAATCAGTCCGAGATATCATCAAGGATGCTAGCTTCATCCTGCGTCACTCCGCGGACTCGGTACCGAAAGAGCTCGTAGACGCTCTGAACGCCAGGTTACTCCTCAGATACACGTTTCTCGCCGCCATTGATCACACGCAATACCGGACCGACCCCAATCGGATCAGGAGCCCGTGGCAGGAGGCCTTCGGCATGCTCCCAGGCATCAAGGACAGCCACGGCCTTGGAAAGCCCGTCCCCGAGGCCTTCAGTGCGAAGTTGCAGCGTAAGCTTGCTAGTACCATGCCCCCGCGGCCTATAGTCCAAACCAGCTTCGAGGACGCCTTTGCAAATCTCACGAGAATGATCAGCGACGGGATAGAGGTCGTGGGCGTGCTAAACTACACCGATTCGATCTGCCTCCAGGTAGCCCCTCCCCCGACCCCTTTTTCACCACGAGTCTACCACTGACAAACCCCTCTCAGACCTACGTCTCAACCTTCCAAGCAAAGAAGCCTCAACCCCTAATTTTCGTCCGCACCCTTCTCCAATCATTCCTCTTCAAGGACATGGAGGTACTCGGCCACAAGTCGATCCGCCAACTCCTCGACGACGACTTTTCCATCGTCTCCCTCCCCGCCTCCCCCCTCCTCGACCGTGCAAACGACGAGATAGAAGCAACCCACGACCCGCGCTTCACCATCGCCGCCCAGATGGAGTCCTTCCGCATGCGCGCCGCGCAGCCCTACCTCGACATCCTCCGCACCTTCTGCCAGAACCGCTGCCGCGTCCGCCGCACCCTCTGCCACATCGTCCGCGACTGGGAGAACCTGCAATTTGACGCCGAGGACATTGACCAGATCATCCAGCATCAGAGCGACGAGCAGCCCGTCGTGTACCAGTCCGCCTCGGGCCCCGTCGAGACCTTCTCCCTCCCGCTCTCCTCCTGGGCGTACCTCTACAAGGTCAAGCAGATGGAGTGGATCGTCCAGCTCGGCTTCGAGCTCGAGGTCTACCAGCCCGACGAGCTCGCCGGCATGTACTGGTACCTCAACTTCCTCGCCAAGAACCGCCTGCAGCACGTCGAGCGCATAAAATCCTTCGTTGTAAGGAGCCTCAGCCAGGCGCAGGCCAACAGGCAGCGGCTCTCCCCGACGGCCGAGGCGCAGTACACAAAGTCGCTCGCGTTCCTCCGCCTGACGCTCCTCGACGCCGCCGTGACCGAGGGCCTCTCCGACGCGCTGTCCTGTCTGTACACCGCCCTGCACCGCCTCGGCCTCATCAAGCCGCCGCCGCGGCCCTACAGCACCGACGAGCTGCGTTACGAGCTGCGAATGAAGCCTTTCGCGGTCATCGGGCTGCCGTCGCTGCCCACCTTCGAAGAGTTCACCATCGGCACGCAGCAGTCTGACGCGTCCGTCGACGACCTCCTGGCGCTGGCCGACCGGGCCATCGCCGGCGCGAAGAAGGGCTTCGAGGTCATGAGCAAGTTCCCTGAGGCGGAGTCCTTCTCCGTCGGATCACATGATCGCTGGGTGCCGACCACGAAGAACGGGCTCAAGTCGTGCATCGCCGCGGGGCTGGCGGTGTCGGTTATCAGAAAGGCGCTAGACAAGTCGGGCGAAGGCGGGGACCTCAAGCTCAAGGCCGAGGTGCCGACTCCAGACAAGTCGTATCACGAGTGGTGGATCGTCCCGAGAATCATACCCGTTCGGTGAGGCTCTGAGAGCAACGAACCGAGGTGTAGCATAAGATAGACTTGCAACGGATAATTGAATCCTACTTCTAAAAAAAGATGTGATACTCCTAGATTTCTTCCCAATTTCCCAAAGAATCATGTGATGCTACCTTTGGCAACCATGTTCGCCCGATTTCCATCCAATACCCGTGTTTGAGGGTATTTCCGTGATTTCCGTACAAAAATTTGATACAAGTCGCGTGTTACGAACGTATATGCTGAGCTACCATGCGATGCGATGGAGCGTCTAGCTGGCTCGGTCTATATATGCGTTTAAATCTCAACCTCTAGTCCCAACTGTGTTGACTTGCGCAGTTTCCAAGTTTCGAGGTAGTCATTGATTTATGAAGCATTTACGCGCGCTTCTTGGACAGCAGCCTGAGCTTGACAGTCTGCTCGTAAAGGACGTCTTTGAAGGCGAAGAGGAAGGCGGCGGTCAGCACGCTCTGAGTGACCTTGGGGCCGATACCTGGACTTCTTGTTAGCGCCGCATGCATCACCGTCTTTGACATGTGACATTTACCCTTGTAGAGGCCGGCGTAACCCTCCTCCTTGATGACCCGGCTGATGGCCTGGGACATGCCCTCCTTCTTCTCGCCGTTGCCAGCGACGTGCATCTGGCTCTTGACCGTGATATACGGGTAGGTGACCGACGTGGCAAACAACTTGCCCAGGGCGCCGAGGAAGAAGGCGATGGTTGGGGTGACCCTCCTCTTCTTCTCAACGGTGTTCTTCATCTGCTCGAACAGGGTGTACTGCAGAATGGGGTTGATGACGAGCACCAGCGCGGGAATGACACCCGAGAACAGGGCCTGGGGGCCTTCGTTCTTCAGCAGCGCCAGCAGCGTGCCGATGGTCGAGGGCGCCTTCGCGGGCTTCGCGGCTTGCGCCTCCTCGTCGCCCTCCTTCTTGGCGCTGGCCTGGCTGCGGGTGGTCATGCGGGTGTTGACGACCCAGATGGGGTTCGTGAGGATGACGGTCGCGGAGCCAGCGATGGCGCCCGCGATCATGGACTCGACGGTGGTGAGCTTCCTGTTGGCGCGGCCGGCCTTCTCGGCGGCCTTCTCGAAGAAGGCGCGGGTCCATTCGTACCAGTAGTAGTAGACGAAGTTGGTGACGCTGATGCCGAACAGCGCGGACTCGAGGCCGGAGTAGAGCCCGGACACGCCCTCCCTGGCGACGATCTTCTGGACGGCCGTGAGGAAGGCGGAGTCGGCGCGCTTCGATTCGACCTGGGCGCGGGTGGAGAGGGTGATGAGAGGGTAGCTGCGATGATGGGTGTGATTAGAACTACGGTTTGCGCCACGCGAATGGAATCTGGGGTAAAATCTGGAGATGATGGAGGCACGGAGGGTTCCAGAAAAGTCCCCTGGTTCTTCTTACGTCAAGGCCATGGAGAGCAGACCCCCGCCTGCGCCAGCGAGGGCGTGGGCGACATTGTCGTTCTGCGGGATTGCTGGCTTAGACTGCGACATGGCTGTGGATTATATGGTGTATGTAGAGTGTCTGTCGCTGGAAGGAGGCTTAGGTTGGTTTTACAAAACTTGGGACGACGAGAGGGCAGCGGTGCGATGATGCATCAACCTGAATGCGGGATGTGGATGCTGACGGATGCGCCGTATTTGAATGGGAGTCTGAAGAAGTCGAGTCTGGCCTTCTGCCATCTCAAACAGTACCAATCCCTTGGTTGGAGCCGAGGTCAACCACGTTAGCAATGCCGAAGGGGGGGAGGCCACACTGGAAGGGCTGCCGCTAAGAACCTTAACCCCAGTTATGTCATTCATGCTATCACAGGCAGGGGGGCTGGAAAAGGGTACTGACGGTCACAGGTCGCATGTGAAGAATGGGGCGCCAATCTCCCATAATCTTTGCCCAGCAGGGTTTAACTCCGAATTTTCGGGGATTCGGGATTTCTCACGTGGAGAGCCTGGTTTTCGAGGCGGCCCCGGCCCCGTGAGCCGTCAAGGTCGGGTCGAGCGCCGAAGCGGGAGAGATCGGGACAGCGGGGAAATATTGTTCCCCTTGTCTTTAATGGGCGTGGACCGTGCCCGCGGGAAAAAGTCAAGTCGCTGTCAATCGTCTCTCGTCCCCGCCAAGGCGACCGAGGGATGACTTGCGCTAGTCCACACTGGGAAGAAAGTAAACAAAACAGCTTTTGGGCTGACATTGACAACTGGTCCAGGGCCCTGTTGGGACCCTCTTTGAGCGCCAGCGCAGCACCACCCTGCCGGCACCGCGGCCACCACACCACCTCGCGCGCAACACACCTTTCCCATGAATAGCTTTCAACGTTCGTGCGACTAACCTACAGGAAGGCCAAAGAGCCCTGCGCGTGTTCTTCTTTTTGGCGTCTTCTTTTGTTTCTTTTTTGCTTCTTTGCATAAAGTCTACGCGATATTCATACCCAACGGCGCGCGCGTCTTGCCGCCTCAATTGCGCCAGCCAACATGGCGACTCCAATAACACGAGCACCCAGCGAAGATGACCTCTCGTCGCCCGATCCCCTCAACGACAACCTATCGTCCGCCCTCTACCCGTCGACAAATCGCGTGACCCGAAGCCAGCGGTCCCAGCGATTGTTCTCCGTCGGAGGCCCCGGGACGTCGCCTAGAAAGCAGATGTTCGAGCTCGAGGTCGGAGACAATCGCAAGCCGCAACGCCTACTAGTTACCGTTGAAGCCGAGGACGAGTACGAGAATGTCGGGCGCAGACTATTCAACGCGCAAACACCCAGCCTCAGGAGAGGCACGACTACAACCACGATTCCGCTCGGCGGCGATAAGAGAGCCACGGCGATCAAGACCCCGGCGCGGAGGGGTCGTCCACCCAAGAATGCGACGCCAGGACCCAGCGGCGCAGGTACCGGCACCACAACGAGAAAGAGGAAGGGAACACCAAGGGGAACGCCCAGACCGGCGCGCAAACCCAAGATTGGAGACTCGGACGATCTAAATTCAGACATGACCATTCCTCAAGGCACGCCGAAATCCATAATGCGCCGCCCACGCGGTTCTAGTCGCCAGGGTTCCACGGATCCTGCGCCTTCGACAACGCGGCGCCGCGGCAGGCCAAGAAAGGTCGATTTCAACCCCGACGAAACTATCCATACGATTGAGGACTTCGACCAGGCTGTCCCGCCATCGGACGATGTTCTTGCGGCGGGTATGCAACAGATGGATGTGGACTCCACCCCGGCGCGGGAGCAACCGACGGAGAACGTACCAGAGTCTGATGGGGATATCTGGATGGCAACGATGGATGATGAGACAACACCGCGGCCGAGGAATCATGGAGACACGAGCCAACGGCGCATCTCGTCCCCCTCCCATCCCAAAAAGAGCCCGACACCGTTTGATTCCGACGATGGCAACGAACCCGCTTACGATAACTACGACTTTGGCCCAGGACCGGCGAGCGATATTTCTTCTCTAGTCGGCGACGATGCTCATCCCAGCAGTGGCTCTCGCGACCGAGATATGGACACCGTCGCCCAGGGCGAAGACTTCAGCATGATCTTTGCGAACTCGATCCCGTCACTTAAGAGTAGTATGGGCGTGCAAGCATCCGGCCCGGAAGACTTTGGCGATGAAACAAACATGATTATTAACCAGACTCTGGAATTGCTGAGGCAGAGTGGCGCTTTGCGCCCGGACGACGAAGACGAGGAGGATGAGGTCGTGGGCATTCCCACCCAGCAGGCGGAAGAGTCTAGAATGGAGGTCGAACATGATGTGACGCTTCACACCTCGCCATCGACTAGGATAGAAGCTCTCATGGACTCTCTGGTTGACAACTCTGTCGACATCAATAATGAGACGATCCCCGATGTGACTGGCGAAGTCAACGTTGAGTCCATCGTGGATATGAGCGCTGTCACCCACTCACCCGTCGATCTCCCATCCCTGCCGACTCCAAGGCTTCGCGCACCTTCGTCAGCTGCAGGAAGCGATGGCACGCCCAGCAAGGGCAATCAGTCGCCTGCCTGGATCCGGAGCAGCCCTCGCCGCAAGTCTATCCCGCTGGGTAGGAAGCTCCTCGAGTCCAAGGCACGCCAAATGGATGACTCCTTTTCCAGCATTCCCTCCAAAATTCTAGCCGCTGCGACACCTGCCAAGAAGACCTCTAGGCGAAGCTCGACCTCAAGACGAAGTTCGGGTGTGAGACGAAGCTCGATGGCCAACGAGGAGGACTCTGCCGCGTATGAGGATGATTTCTCCGAGATCCCCGAAGAGTATCTGGAGGCTGCTACCCCTGGCAGGACGCTGCAACGAGTGGATGAGACCGAGGTCAACGAGGAAGAAGAGGCCGAAGTTGAGGCGCAAGAGGACAGGGGTATGGAGGAAGTTGAATTGGCAGAGGAAGAGCCCCCAAAACCTTCTCCGACAAAAAGTGCCGACCGTTCGAATGCGAATGTATTCACTCGCTCAGACTCGAGCAGAATGCTCACGCCGGACGACACTCTATCTTCCAATGAAGTTCCTGTCCCTGACTCCGATGGCAAAACCATCGATGCGCCTCAAACGTCTCCTTTGGCCGAGCAGTCTCAATTGCCGGGAGATACGAGCAAGGTTAGGAGTGAGGGCAGAAGCAGAAGCAGAAGCTCTTCTTCTGCAGCAGGGCAACATCATCTGCCTGCTGAGAGCTCTCCCCTCGTTTCGCATTCTTACCTGCCTGAACAGAGAAGCTCTTCTCCTATGGCTGAGGAGACTTTCCTGCCTGATCAGCGAAGCTCCCCTATAGCTGAGCAAACTTTCCTCCCCGATCAGCGAAGCTCTTCTCCAGTAGCTGAACAGACCCATCTACCCGAGGGAAGTTCTCCCCCAGTCGTTGACCAATCTCATTATCCAGAGCGTAGTTCTTCTCCTGCAGCCGAAGAGGCGGACGAACCCGTGGCGCCTCCTGAGAAGAACGCTGTAAGGAGGAACTCAGTTCGAAGCTCTTCGCTTCCCGTTGGAGACCTGACGACAAACTTGCCTCGTACGGCGAACGAATACATTACACCAGTAGGCCCGGCCTCATCGCCCATTCCGGCGCCTACTGGCAACCTCTTAGCACCTCGTGCGCCATCGCCCGAGGCCGGCTTCCGCCCAACCCTGTCGCCAATAGTCCGGGCCGGCCGAGCTCTACAGAGCGTCACATCAGATGCCTCGTCTCCTCCTCGCCAGAACTCGCTCGGCAGCCCGTTCAGACCGACTACTAGTAGCAGTCAGCTTCAGCCTCAGTCTGCCTCCAAGCCAAGAAACAGCTGGACCCAGCCACTTTCGAACTTGATCCAGGCAGGCGCTCAGTTCTTCCAGTCTCCCACCAGGCTCTTGGCACAACCATCAGTCCCGCAATCAGTAAACCAAAGCCAACCCCCGTACGAGGATCCTTTTGGCGCCGAAGATAGTCATATCGGCCAGCCGAGCTTCATGGAGGCCCTGGCAAAGAGTATACGATCCTCGTCGCCGAGCACAGCGGCAGCACGTCCCAGGTCAATGTCGGGATCTCTCCGTGCTGCGCCGGCCGACGAGGCCGATGAGATGAGTTGGATGCAGGAAGAGCCTGCTCCTCGCGAGCAGCCATTTGCCCCGTCGCGATCTGTCAATTCTAGCATAGACGCAATCGGCAACTCGTTTGGCAGCCAACAGCGCAGCTTTGAGGCTCGGCCAAACCTTGAGGCCCAGCGCAGCTTCGAGTCTCAGCCTGGCTTTGAGCGCCAGGACTACGATGCCGGTGACGAAACCGAGGTTGAAGAGCAGGAGCCAGAGGAAGAGGAAGAGCCAGAGGAGGATTATGCAGAAGAAGAGGAGGACGATGACATCTGGGCAGTTGAGGCTTCACGACCGGCTTCGCAGTCAAGCCGCCAGCGCGACTTTGGCAAGCAATCCGTCCAATCGATCCCTGCTCGCCGTGCTGCCCCAAGCCCGTGGAAGAGAGGCCCCGAATCACCAAAGAAGCCACCTGTGTTCACCCCAGCTGCGTCTCGTGCCCACGACTCAATGGCTGATGACGCTGAGATAGAGGACTTTTCAATGCTCTCTCAGCAGCGCAGTCGCCAGAAGCAAATCCCGCACAAGGCCCTCAATATGGCTCAGCACTCGTCCGCTAAGAAGGACCTATCTGCCTTCTTCTCATCTCCGGCCCTCTTGCCCGGCACCGAGGGCGTTCGGGACATCCTGGACGCGAAAAAGCGACAGAATGCCTTGGCCCAGAGGGACCTCTCACAGCCTGCCGAGCGCTTCCCTGGGGGGCTAGAGACGAACTCGATGTTCCCCTCCGTCCCGCAAAAGGCATTCAACCCGTCCCAGAGCGGGCGATCAGATCTCTTCTCTCCTGCAAAGCCAAGTGCCGTCAAGAACGCCAGCGCTGTCACAGTCCCTGATGTTCAAAATACCCGCCGTGAGCTCTTCGCCTCCAGCAGGAGCCGGCCCAACATGCGCCATCAGTCAGAGATTCCCGACTCTCAGCCCGCAATGTCGTCCGAAATCTCCTTCCTCCCCGTCGCTCAGAAGCAGAACTTCACCCCGCGGTCAGGCCAGAAGACGAACAACCTCTTCACCAAGGCCGCCGCCCCGGTTCCTTCCCTGACCCCGGTTCGCATGCAGCTCACCCGCGCGGACATCAAAAAGTGGCAGGAGGATAGTGCCTCAGCCATCGCAGAAGACAGTCCCGAGTCCCCGTGCCGCAGCAGCCTCCGCCCCCTGCCCGACAGGAACATGTCACCCCCAAAGTCCTGCCTGCGCTCCCCCCTGAAGCCGCGCACGCCGGGAAGGGTCGTCGAGTTCACGAGCAGCGTGCTCTCCCCGCTGGCGCAGGCACAAGCCCGCGCGGAGCGGCGTATGTCCGCCAGCTCCAACGGCAGCGCCGCCGGCCCCGCCGCGATCGCCTTCGCGCCGCAGCGCAGCATCACGATTATCGAGGAGGACAAGGAGAACGACGTGTCGGAAGAAAACGAGGAGATGGACGTGTCCATGACTGACGTGCCCCAAGCGGATCTCAGCAACCCGCCCAAGCCCGTCGAGAAGCGTCTCTCTCAGACGATGTGGTCCCGCAACCACTGGCTTCTGATGGACGAGCTCATCCACCTGCGCAGGCGGGGCCCCTTCAACTTCCGATGGCCAGCCGGCTTCCAGTCGAAATCGGGCTGGTTGCTGGGTAAGTCGGTCAACTCGCACGGATCCAGTCTGCTTATGGAGCAGTGGCACCTTGACGTTGTTGACGCCTTCAAGGCCGAGGTTGGCGGGTGGGATGAGGAGGTGCTGGCCAAAAGGGCCTTTTCGTTGATTGTGGGAGAGCGGCTCCGCAGGGAGCAGCGCGCGCCTAAAGCATCCTCGGTGAAGTTTGTTTAAAGGCATGCATATTGGCGTTTCCTGTTCCTTGGGCGTTGTGGTTGATTGATGAACAAAAGATCAGGGGCCTATCATGAAAGTTTCACGTTGAATCATTGTACTGTGGTTTCGATGGCGTTTCGGGGGAACAGATATCACATTGTTTGGACACTGGGGAGATACCCGCAGTTTGTAAGATACCACTTCATCAGAATGAATTTCTGTCTCATGCACCGCCGGCATTGTGTGTCTATGGTAATAGTACAGTTCCGAATCCATTCGCTTCCTTTACCCCTTGAACCCTTGACGCCTGCCATGTCTTACTCGAGCATCGAGGCCTGGTTGGTGTAAAGGACGTCCACCACGCTGCTCAGCTTCTCGATCGTAGCAAGGGCGTGGTCGTATGCGCTGTCGCGCTCCGTCTCGTCGTAAATGATGAGGCATCCCGCACCCTGGTCCAGAACACCAATAATGACCTTGTCGAGAATCATCTGGGAGAGCTTGCGCTCGACCTGTTGCGTGTCGAGGCCGACCATCTTGGCGATGTGGTTGATCTCAACGCGAGAGAATGGCTCAATTACCTTGATAAGGTTTTGCTCCAGCATTGCGTCGTACAGCCGGCGCAGGTGGTTGCGGATGAAAGCGTCGCTGCCAAGCTGCTCGCGGTAGGACTGCAGAGCCTGCTCGTACTCCTCGAGAGAACGGTTTGAGTGCGCTCTGGCAATAGCCTTCATAGCCTCGAGGTTCTTGCTAGCGTACTTCTGGGCCTGCTTGGAGGTCATCAGGTTGTTGACGTCGTCAACGAGGTTGAGCATGATCTTGCAGAGCAGCATGTACTGCAGGGCGGCGGTAGCCTTTGTGTGCTCGTCTTGGCTGTGGTAGCCATCGAGGGCCTCGATAAAGTAGGAGAAGGCCGTGTTGAAGTCCTTGTCTTCGGCGTGGAGCATACCGCTCTGCATGTCTAGGTGGGCCTGGAGAAGGGGAGGGGTGTAGACGGAGGCGGCGCTCGTACGGGCACTGGTGAGGGCGGCACGGGCCTTGGGGATGTTGCCGAGAGCATGGTAGACGCGCGACTCGAGGAGCTGTACCTCAACCAGGACAAGCTTGTCGTCTAGGCGCTTGAGCTCGCGGAGGAGGCCGTTGATGAGTGTGAGGGCGTCGTAGTAGGCTTGCTTCTGCATGAGGAGGGTGACCAGGCGGGTCTCGAGATTCTGGCGCAGGAAGCTGCGGCGCTCGGAGGTGGCCCATTCTATACATGACTTCGTAACGGCAATCTGGATATCGGTGCTGCCCTCAATGTTCTCGAAGAGGTCGAGGAGCGAGCGGACTGGAGGGGTAGCAGTTAGCTATCTGCGGAATCGCCTAATTTGACAGGTTTGCGATCAGTCCATACCAAGCTTTGCTGTCTTCGCCTTGGCGAATGACGAAAGCACTGTTCGGCTTTTTGTGACAAGGTCGACAAGCTCCTGCGTGTTCCTACAAGGGCAATTAGCACACATGGGTCCGACGATGTCATCGCTAGGTGGGGAGGGGCTCACTTCTCATCCCGGTACAGCTCTCCCAAGCTAATCAACGCCGTCTCGTACTCCTTCACCGCAGCATCGGAGGTTGCGGAAGGGGGCTTGGAGATGATGTCCTTGTAGAGCTGCTCTGCCTTTCGGGGATCTGACTTGGCCGCCTTCTGTGCCTCTTGCACCCTCGCCGATTCGCCCTGAGCCATTCTGGATATTTGACCTCCGGTCGTTCAACAATTCGTCTCGGTTCGTTTGCTTGTGTGAGGTTTCGTGGAATTGTCGTCGTGGGGAAGAGGTGGTGGTTATGGTTCAATCGCCGGATTCGTGATGTAGCTTCTTGGTGCTTTGTCAAGAGCTCCAGCCGCCTCCAGCAGGTCCAGGTTGCCATGACCGCGACGCAAGCCCGGGCGGGAGCAGAGGGCAGGCACGGCCGGGCCGTGATTGATCCGCAAGGAGCTATGGTTGGCCAAAATTCTCCGAGAGATCCCCCACCCCACTTAAATTTTGGGAGAAGTTCTGGATGGCTTCGCAGCCATTGATTGACACGCCTCTGGTGAAGCAACACACTGCACTGCATCCGCCAAAATGAAGATCAAGGCCCTTTCTCGAAGCGTGGAGGCATATCAGCCTCCCGGCGCAAGTGCGCAAAAGCTGCCTAGGTATATGAGCTCATGGTCTACCTGCAAAGCATCGCTAACTCTTCTCAAGAAACCTCGATCCCGCCCAGCATCCTATGGAACGCGCCCGAGAGTACGACAACCTCGCCACTTCTCGATTTCACAAGCTAACAGCGCGATCAGGTACACAAAAGCCCTTAATGCTGTCAAGCTCGAGCGCATGCACGCCGCGCCCTTCATTGGACAGATGGGCAGCGGTTTTGTTGACGGCGTAAGATCGAAGTGGATTCAGCTTTGTGCGACTGCCATTCTGACAGCTACTACAGGTCTACTCAATGGCGAAGGACCCAAATTCCCTGAAAAATTTTGCATCGGCAAGTGGTGACGGTGCGATCAAGACCTTCGACCTTGCGAGCCGAGACGAGATTTGGACGGTGAAGAGCGCGCACACCAATATTGTACGAAGTCTGTGCTGGACGAAGGACGGAAAGCTACTCAGTGCGGCCGCCGACAAGACGATAAAGCTTTGGGACCCCTACAACACGCCGAGCGATTCCGCGCCGATTTCTTCTTGGCTGGGCAATAGCGGTTTCCAAAGTCTGTCCCACCACAGAACACGGAACGCCTTTGCGGCCTCATCCGCGTCTAGCGAGATCGCCATTTACGACCTCGAGCGACACAGTGCAGCGCCCGAGATTCTGCGCTGGCCCAACGCGACCGACACGATCACCTCCGTTGCTTTTAACCAGGTGGAGCAGTCGATTCTGGGAAGCACGGCCGCCGACAGAAGCATCGTGCTATGGGATGTCCGCACTGCGATGCCCCTGACCAAGACGACCATGACTTTTGCCTGCAACTCTCTATCATGGAACCCGATGGAGGCTTTTAACCTGGTCGTTGGCAGCGAAGACCACAACTGTTACGTATGTGTGGAGATATTAAGAATGCTTGCGGAATGATGCTGACCTGTACAGATGTTTGACATGCGCAAGTTCGACAGGGCACTGAACGTTTACAAGGGCCACGTCGCGGCTGTCATGAGTGTCGAGTTCAGTCCGACGGGGGAGGAGTTGGTCTCCGGATCCTACGACAGGACAGTCCGCATCTGGAATCGCGACCAAGGTCACTCACGCGACATCTACCACACCAAGCGCATGCAGAGGGTCTTCAGCACCATGTTCACACCCGACTCCAAGTACATCCTTTCCGGCTCCGACGACGGAAACGTGCGCATCTGGAGGTCCAACGCCAACGATCGATCCGGTATCCGCTCCGCGAAGCAGAGACAAGCCCTCGAGTATAACGAGGCCCTCGTCAACCGATACAGCCACATGCCTGAGATCAGACGCATCAAGAGACACCGCCACCTGCCGAAGGTCATCAAGAAGGCTGGCGAGATCAAGAATGTCGAGCTCAAGTCCATCAAGAGACGCGAGGAGAACGAGCGCAGGCACACCAAGAAACAGTTCGAGAAGAGACGGAGCGAGAGAGAAAAGCCTATCCTGGCACGTGAGAAGTAATGGAAAATCTGCGAAAGGTGCTGCTTATTGCATTGTTTGGCGTTTGGGCGGCATGTCAATTGTATGTATGGGACAAGGGGGCCACTGTGTGAAAAGTGCATTTAGAACCAATACCACAGGTCAAGTCGTCCATGGTCAAGAATTCGTCAAGAATATACCAACGAATTTCCGCGAGATGTTACGCATCATTCGGGTTGATTTCCCCATTGTCCATTCTCACATATCAACGCCGCAACTGACATCTTTAATCTAAATCCCGGACGGGCTTTCACTCGGCGGCCGACGAGTCCGCCGGCTCGGAGAGAAGCTTAAAAGACAGCGGCCCACCCGGCAGCGCAAGCCGTGGCGGAGAGATGATCATGGGCGGCTGCAAGGGGCGAAACGGGGTGTTTTGGTGGTAGCAGCCGACCCCAAACCACCCAGGGGTTCCAGGGGCACACACGCTTGCAGCAGCACACAGACAGGAGCTGACCTGTCAGGGGCCCCCTAGCGCTTGGCCTCCGTTTCAACGCTCCCAGAGGTCCATCCACATGTGACGAATTCCAGCTCCCCGCTGCAGAGAGAGCGCCTCGAGCTTTCCCATTCCTTGTGGCCAGACTGCAGCCGACTTTTCGTCTCATCTTTTCCCGATTTTCCCTTTCTTCCCTTTCCTCCCAACGCTGGACGACACCTGTACGATTCTTCCTTTACATCCGCATCCTTCCCACCTTAATCCTTCTTTTATTCTGTGCAGGACGCGGGAGAGAGCTGTTGGTCTAATACGTCGCGAGAACACGCACAGTCGTCACTGCTACCTCGAGAGAGAACACCACCACCACCACAATGGAATACCCACGCCCACCCCAACAAGAGTCGTGGTTCGCGCCCCTCTCAATCGACCTCATCGTGAAGGTCTTCAAGATCACCTTCTTCCACCCCTTCGTCTCCTGGATTATCCCTCTGTGCTTCCGCGCGCAAGCTCTTCCCTACGATGCCCCGCAAATGATCGCCTCCATCGCTTGGGCGACCTTCATTACCCTCTGTTGGATGGCAGGCATCATTAACCAGCGCGTCGCTTACGGCCTGCCCCGCGAGGTCGACCTCTCCGAAGAAGTCATTGTCATCACCGGCGGCGCCAGTGGTCTGGGTCTGCTGATTGCCGAGGTCTACGGCATGCGCGGTGCCACGGTTGCCGTGCTCGACGTCAACGAGATGGAGAACGGCGAGGCGCGGGGTGTGACGTTCTACAAGTGCGATGTCACTGACAAGAATGAGGTCGCGAGGGTAGCGGGAGAGATCGAACGCGAGGTAAGCTCCCCAACGTGCCCCCCATACGATATCACAGATCACTGACAGTCCATCCAGCTCGGCACACCAACCGTTCTGATCAA